TGTGTGGTGTTGATTGTGCTGGGTGGGTTAGCGTGTGGTTGGAGAGAGCGAGGGGAGAGGTGGTGCTGAGTGAGTTTGGGTGCGGGGCTCCATGCCACTGGGTGGGGTGACGGCGCCGCGGGGTTTTAGATGTGTGTGAGTGTGTGGTGTGTGTGTGTTTGATAGGTGATGTGTGGTCACAGTGTGAGTGTGTGATCACAGTGTGAGTGTGCGTGCGGTCACAGTGTGTGTGCGTGTGATCACAGTGTGAGTGTGTGTGCGTGTGATCACAGTGTGAGTGTGTGTGCGCTTGTGATCACAGTGTGAGCCTGTGTGCGCGTGTGATCACAGTGTGAGCGTGTGTGCGCGTGTGATCGCGGTGCGAGTGTGTGTGTGCGCGTGTGATCGCGGTGCGAGTGTGTGTGTGCGCGTGTGATCGCGGTGCGAGTGTGTGTGTGCGCGTGTGATCGCGGTGCGAGTGTGTGTGTGCGCGTGTGATCGCGGTGTGAGTGTGTGTCCGCGTGTGATCACGGTGCGTGTGATCACAGTGTGAGTGTGTGCGCGTGTGATCACGGTGCGTGTGATCACAGTGTGAGTGTGTGCGCGTGTGATCACAGTGCGCGTGTGATCACAGTGCGCGTGTGATCACAGTGCGCGTGTGATCACAGTGTGCGTGTGATCACAGTGTGTGTGTGTGTGATCACAGTGTGTGTGCGTGTGATCACAGTGTGAGTGTGTGTGTGTGCGTGTGATCAGTGTGTGTGATCACAGTGTGAGTGTGTGTGCGCGTGTGATCAAAGTGTAAGTGTGTGTATGCGTGTGATCAAAGTGTAAGTGTGTGTATGCGTGTGATCACAGTGCGTGTGTGTGTGCGTGTAATCACAGTGCGAGTGTGTGTGCGCGTGTGATCGGTGTGCGTGCTGTGTAGGTATTAGACGTGAATGAATATGTAGGTGTTTTGTGTATGTGATGGTTGTCACGAGACAGTGACGTGTAATACTGTATGTACAGTACTGGTGTGTGTGTTGTGATGTATATTTATGATGTGTGATGCAGTGTTTTGTGCAGACCGTGTGCATTGTGTGATGTGCAAATGCAATCTATGTGCGTGTATATATCCACGAATGCGTACGTGTTCTGAGTGTATGACGAGCGTGTATATACGAGTGAGGATCTGCGTGATTGTGTAAGCGTGTGTCAATGTTTCTCTAAGTGTCTTTGCGATTGTGTAAGAGTGTATGTATGTGTGTTTATCTGTGACTGTCTTTCAGTGTGATTGTCTACTCTATGTGTGTCTTATCTGACCTGTGTGTGTGTGAATGTCTTTGTTTTGGTATGCGTCTGTTTATGTATACGTGTCTGTATTGGTCCCATGTTTATTTCTGTGCCCATTTGTTCATCTGTGTCACTGCGTACACTCTTGTTTTGTAGGGAGCGGCAGTGTAGCGGGTCCAGCGCCCTGCGCTACCAACCCCGCAAACCCAAGTTCGATTTCCGCTCACGGCCACCAACACCAGTGACGATGATCTGAACCGGCCCTAGGCCGACTCAGCCTCACAACGAGCAACTGGTGCGGTGTGTAAACATCGCCACTGGGGAGACAAAGGCGGCCGGGCGTTCGGTGCCGGCCACCCACCCCCTTCGTGTGTTGTGTCAGTCTTCACAGGCGGCCACACAAGTGGTACGGCCAAAAACCCGGCGACCGGAGTTCTATTCCCGTTCACGACCAACAACAGTGGCAGATATATTTAAACTAGTCCTGCCCCCCCCCCCCGTCCCCATAGGTCGACTCGGCCCTCGGTGAATACGTTGGGAGACAAAGGCTGTGCTGCAGGCCGTCCACCCCTTTCGCGTGCCATGCTTGTTGGCCGTAATAGGTGCTCGCAAATAGCACTTGCCCCCGGCAGTCTATGATAGGCAATATGGGACGTGGGATGGTTGGGGGTCTTTGTGTGTGTGTATGCATTGTGAGTTGTATGGGTCTTCACACGAGCTGTCTGGGTCTCCTGACCCTGCAACTCGCTGTCATCCAAACCAAACATCACAATTACACGAAGTTCCGTAAACATAGCCGCAGCCACCACAGTGTTGTGTGGCTCTGCTGCGGTTATTGTGCGGTTGTTGCCCTGGTTAGTGCGCGGCTGTTGCCGCGGTTAGTGCGCGGCTGTTGCCCTGGTTATTGCGCGGCTGTTGCCGCGGTTATTGCGCGGCTGTTGCTGCGGTTAGTGCGCGGCTGTTGCCGCGGTTAGTGCGCGGCTGTTGCCCTGGTTATTGCGCGGCTGTTGCCGCGGTTATTGCGCGGCTGTTGCCGCGGTTAGTGCGCGTGAGTGCCTCGTGGTTTGATGTCGGTATTGTGGTTGTGTTATGCCTGTGTGTTTTTGGCTGCACTCTGGTTGTTGTGTGGCTCTGTTTTGGTTGTGCAGTTGCGTTGTGGTTGTGTTTGTATCGTTTGTGTGGTTGTGGTGGTTGTTGCTGTGGTTGTGTGGTTTGGTTGTGGATGCGTGCTTTTTGTTTTGTGGCTTTGTTGTGGTTGTCGTGTGGCAGTGTTTTGGCTTTGGGTGAGCTGTGGTTGTTGGGTAGTTGTGTTGTGGCTATGCGCGTGTGTTGGGTTTGTTTGCTTGTGTATTGTCTGTGTGGCTCTGTTGTGGTTGTGTGTTGTGGCTGTTGTTTGGATGTATTGTGTGGTTGTGCGGCTGTATGGTTGTGTTGTGGCTGTGTGGGTGTCTTGTGGTTGTGTGGCTGTCTTGTGGTTGTGTGGCTGTTTTGGTTGTGTTGCAACGTTGTGGTTGTTTTGTGGTTGATGGGTGGTCGTGTTTTGGCTGGTATTGTAGTTTTGTGGCTGTTGTGGTTAACATGTGGTTGTATTGTGGTTTGTCTGCTTGTGTTGTGGGTGTGTAGTCGTGTTTTGCTTGTGTTGTGGGTGTGTAGTCGTGTTTTCGTTGTGTTGTGATTGTGTATCTGTTGTAATTGTATTGTGGTTGTGTGGATGTGTGGTGTGGTTGTGTTGTAGCTATGTTGTGGTTGTTGTTTGGATGTGGGCTGTGTGGTTGTATTGTGGCCGTGTTGTGATTGTTTGGGTGTATTCTGTTTGTATGGCTGTTTTGGTTAACATGTGGCTGTGGTGATTGTGGCTTTGTTGTGGTTGTGTTGTAGTTGTATTGTGGTTGTCTGTTGTAGGTGTGTCTGTGTAGTTGTATTGTGGCTGTGTGACTTGTTGTGTTTTGGTTGTTGTGTTCACATAGGTTCTGCTTGTTTTGTGGCCGTGTGGCTGCTTTGTAGTTGTTGTTTGTCTCTGTTGTGGCTGAATTATGCTTGTGTTGCTTTTGTGGTTGTGTTGTGGCAGTGTTCTGGTTGTGTGGATGTTGTGTTGTGGTTGTATTGTCGTTGTGTGGCTTTGTTGTGGTTGTGGTTTTGTGGTTGTTGTAGTATGACCGTTGTGGCCGTTGTTTGTTTGTGTTAAAGTTGTACACCCGTGCGGTTGAGTTGTAGCTCTGGGTAGACGCTGGCCCATGTGTGTGCGTAACACGGAACCCCGAGTGGTGAATTCCTGCAGTTTACGCCGATTTGGAGTGGATAAATACCCTTAACTTCCCTTGAACATTACGTCCCCTTAAATTCCCCAAGCAAGGGAAATTCCCTGAAGTTGTTTGTTGGTAACCAACTCCAGGCCTCTTTGGCCGTGTTGTGCTCAGGTTATGCCCCCCTTTTGTGCGGTAACGGTGGTTTGTGTTACGGCTTTCGTGGTGTTCTGTTGTGCCCCGTTGTCGTCGGTGAGTGGTGGCTGTTGCCTGGTTGACTTGTCAAGCGGTTGGCTGGCCCTTGTCTGCAACACACGTGGGTCTGTAATGGAGGCCAGCCCTGCCTGTTTCTCCAGTCGGAGACTCCGTGAACAACCTCCCCCCTACTCCTCCTTATCCCCTCCCATCCACCCCCCCCCCCCCCCCACTGGCTCCCTTCTGTCCCGACTGTGACCCTATCATCACTATCATTGTTATCATCACAATCCTCATCATTGCCATCATACTCATCATTGTCATAAGCCATTGTTATCATCATAACAATCCTCCTCATCACCATCATCACCATCATGGTCATCATTGTCATAACCCATTGTCGTCATTGTCATGATCCTCATGATCACCATTGTGGTCATCGTTATTGTCATAACCCATTGTTGTCGTCATTGTCACGATCCTCATCATCGCCATCGTGGTCATCGTTATTGTCATCACCATTGTTATTGTCATGATCCTCAACATCACTATCATGGTCAGCACCAACGTCACGATCATCATCAATCACAATCCTCATCTCCGCCATGTTCATTTCCACCATCGTCATTCTCATCATCATCTTTGTTGCAATTACGCTACCTTGCAGGAGCGGGCTCCCCACCTTTTAATCGGCTAGGGTGACCCAGGATTGATAGAGGGGGCTACGTACGGTCAGTGACTACGGTCAGTGACGAGTGTGCATTGTGTGCTTGTGTGTGAAGCCAATGTGTAAATTGGCACGTGTATTTGTTGGCTGGCCTTTGTTAGAGGGAGCTTATGTATTGGTGGAATCTGTGTTCGCCTGTGTGTGTTTTATCTCCCACGTATTCTGGCAGTGTATAATGATAAACTAAATTAATTTGCAGCCCTCTATCAATCCACTGCTGGATGAAGGCCTCCTCATGCCTTGACGGTCATGGGGGTTGTTTGACCATACTTCCCCCTGCTGGTCACTCCCAGGTTAGAAAAGCAGTGGGTAACAGAACCGTTTCAACTATCAATCGCCACTGATGTTAAGCCCTGGCCGGCAATGGACCTCTTGGTCACCGGGTTCATCATAATGTGCGCATCTTTACGCCTGCACGAAGACCTTGTGTGCGCCTATGTGTATGTGTGTGCTCGTACGCCGATATTAAGACGCACCTTGTGCACGTGTGCACGCGTGTTAACTAATACGAGTGTTGTGTGTCTCTCCCATCCCTTGAATCTGCTGACTGCGTTTGTCCTCCCCGTCCCACCCGCACGCAGTGAATGGTAGTGTCTAGAGAGGGTATGTCCCTTCAGCTGAAAGGTGCCAATGTCCGACCAGCCTAACCACCATCCAGGGGGGTCCACGCTACGCCGCACGACACGCAGCAACGCCGGGGTCCGGGCTTCCCACACGGACGCAAGTACCCACTGGTCAGTGCGCACACACGCACACGCAGGCGCATACACGCACACACGCGGGCGCATACACGCACACACGCGGGCGCATACACGCACGTACAGCACGGATGGGTCAGCAGTCCATTGGATAGTCTTGCCTAAGGCCACGGTATCTCGAATGCTAGCACTATCACTTCCTACATGTGTGTGCGTGTTTGTATGTGTGCGTGTGTTGACATAAGTGCTTGCTAACAGCACTTGCCCCAACATTCTGTTATGGTTTTATGGGAGGGGATCTTTGTCTTCTGTGTGTTTGCATGTGTGGGGAGCGGTGGTGTAGCGGTTATCGCCATATGAAATCCATTCACGGCCAAAACTGGTGACGATTATTTGAACTAGTCCTGGGTCTCCCCTAAGTCGACCCAGCCTCAAAGGAGTACCTGGTGCAGTGTGTTGTAAACAGTCGCCGCTGTGGAGACAAAGGCGTCTGGGAATTATGCTTGCCACCCACCCCCCCCATGTGCCGTGCTGACCTTCATAGGTGACTGCTTGTTAACAGCACTTGCCCCAACAGTCTGTTAAGGCTATATACGGTGGGGACGTTTGTTTTTGTGTTTGCATGTCTAGGTCGAGGGGGGAGGCTCCTAAGCGCAGAGCTTCGCGGTCGCCCGTCGCGCGACACACCAAGCCACGGACGTGAGAGAGCGAGCGCACACACGCGTTATATCGAACAGTCACACGTGGATGCAGTCACTTGCACATATGGACACACTTGCGGAGGAACGGTCAGTTGCTGCTTGCCTGCACGCGCGCAATCTCTCACTCACACGAACACAACCGCTCGCATTTACACAGTTGCACACACCCACACGCGCACATACAGGATGAGTGGTAATGTTGTAAAATAATATTCAAGCTGCCCACTCACTGACGCGGCGCGACAGTATTGCGAGTGTTCATAATTCAACTACTGGATGCCGACGTCGGCACAATTCCAACGCCATTCAAGCAACGGTGCTTGAAATTCCACATCCTTGTATGGTGTGTACCAGCTGATCCACAAGACAACCACTGCTGACTTCCTACAAATGTCTTCTCGTTTGATATGACCCCAGAGATAGGGTGATACTGACGGTGACGATGACCCTGCTGATGATTACGATCGCAATCATGATAATGTGACTATGAAAACGACTGGTGACAAAGCAGAGTCAACCCTTGATCGGAGTTTAATTGTTGTCACCCTTGCGGCTCGTAGGTCCGCCAAGGGTGGGACGAGCGCGGCTTGGAACGCCCCCGGAGCGTCAGCGACCTCCTCCTCCTCTGCGTCGTCGTCGTCGTCATCGTCATCATTGGCGGCAGCGCCTGGCGAAGGAGAAAGAGGAGGAAGAGAGGCGGCAGCGGCTGACGAAGTCGCGAGCCAGGCCGGCGACCCGAAGCCGGCGGCGGCGCCGGCGGCGGCGACCAGGCAAGCAAGGATCCATGTTTGTTTTTGGGTCTGGCCACGTGGGAGAGATTTTTTTTTTTGCAAAAAAAATTATCGTCAATAACCCTCCCTTTACACCACCCGACAGGATTGTAATGCTTACAGGGATATTATTTAAACTGAAGGCTAAATTACGATAAGGTTTTTCTTTTACCAGGTAAGGCCCCCGCTGAGCTAATATAGCTCTTTTTCAGAAGCGACCTTTCCACAAATGATTGCTCAACGAAGTGGCTTATATCATGTGGAAATTTATAGCAGTCGCCAAATACTTATAAACGCACGTCGATTTTAAATGTGGAGGAAATAACCGGAGAACCCAGAGAAACATCCACACCACCACGGGGGAGAGAGACTTGCAAGCTCCAAATATACAGTAGTCGTCATGGTCGGGATCAAACCCACAACCTTTATACCAGGCGAGGTAGTAAACATCTTACCACTGCAGCACCCCCATATTATTATTACAATATGGATATTGTTATTATTTAGACGCCGCTGATATATCAATCAAATTCTGAAAGACAAATCTCCTCGCCGGTGGCTGAAGACTTCCTGTCTGAGTTTATTGTCGACGGACAGGTGAGCAGTGCTCACGTACAGTGAGGGAAAAAGTATTTGATCCCCTGATGATTTTGTACGTTTTGCCAACTGACAAAGAAATGATCAGTCTATAATTTTAATGGTAGGTTTATTTGAACAGTGAGAGACAGAAAAACAACAAAAAAATCCAGAAAAACGCATGTCAAAAATGTTATAAATTGATTTGCATTTTAATGAGGGAAATAAGTATTTCACCCCTCTGCAAAACATGACTTAGTACTTGGTGGCAAAACCCTTGTTGGCAATCAGAGGTCAGACGTTTCTTGTAGTTGGCCACCAGGTTTGCACACATCTCAGAAGGGATTTTTCCCACTCCTCTTTGCAGATCTCTAAGTCATTAAGGTTTCAAGGCTGACGTTTGGCAACTCGAACCTTCAGCTCCCTCCACATATTTTCTATGGGATTAAGGTCTGGAGACTGGCTAGGCCACTCCAGGACCTTAATGTGCTTCTTCTTGAGCCACTCCTTTGTTGCCTTGGCCGTGTGTTTTTGGTCATTGTCATGCTGGAATACCCATCCACGACCCATTTTCAATGCCCTGGCTGAGAGAAGGAGGTTCTCACCCAAGATTTGACAGTACATGGCCCCGTCCATCGTCCCTTTGATGCGGTGAAGTTGTCCTGTCCCCTTAGCAGAAAAACACCCCCAAAGCATAATGTTTCCACCTCCATGTTTGACGGTGGGGATGGTGTTCTTGGGGTCATAGGCAGCATTCTTCCTCCTCCAAACACGGCGAGTTGAGTTGATGCCAAAGAGCTCCATTTTGGTCTCATCTGACCACAACACTTTCACCCAGTTGTCCTCTGAATCATTCAGATGTTCATTGGCAAACTTCAGACGGGCATGTATATGTGCTTTCTTGAGCAGGGGGACCTTGCGGGCGCTGCAGGATTTCAGTCCTTCACGGCGTAGTGTGTTACCAATTGTTTTCTTGGTGACTATGGTCCCAGCTGCCTTGAGATCATTGACAAGATCCTCCCGTGTAGTTCTGGGCTGATTCCTCACCGTTCTCATGATCATTGCAACTCCACGAGGTGAGATCTTGCATGGAGCCCCTGGCCGAGGAAGATTGACAGTTCTTTTGTGTTTCTTCCATTTGCGAATAATATGCACCAACTGTTGTCACCTTCTCACCAAGCTGCTTGGCAATGGTCTTGTAGCCCATTCCAGCCTTGTGAAGGTCTACAATCTTGTCCCTGACATCCTTGGAGAGCTCTTTGGTCTTGGCCATGGTGGAGAGTTTGGAATCTGATTGATTGCTTCTGTGAACAGGTGTCTTTTATACAGGTAACAAGCTGAGGTTAGGAGCACTCCCTTTAAGAGTGTGCTCCTAATCTCAGCTCGTTACCTGTATAAAAGACACCTGGGAGCCAGAAATCTTTCTGATTGAGAGGGGGTCAAATACTTATTTCCCTAATTAAAATGCAAATCAATTTATAACATTTTTGACATGCGTTTTTTCTGGATTTTTGTTGTTATTCTGTCTCTCACTGTTCAAATAAACCTACCATTAAAATTATAGACTGATCATTTTGTCAGTGGGCAAACATACAAAATCAGCAGGGGATCAAATACTTTTTTCCCTCACTGTAGTCGCCGTTGTTTATTTAAATCGTAGACTTCTATTTGACGACGACCCTTGGAGTGTTAGTGAAGTCCTCGTCTGTGGATCACGTTGACTCTTTTTAACGTGATTACCATCACGATACGCGCATCGATAACCCTATTATTATTATTGTCGCCGCATCAATGCACCTGTGACCTTGTCTGTCGCCCTCAGGAAGGGCAGCCAGGACAGGGGAGGGGGCAGCCGGGGAGGGCAGCGGGGGCAGGGAGGGGCGGGGCGGGGGAGAGGGCGGGGAGCCAATCAAGGGCAGTCGCAAAGCAAGGGCCCTAAGAGGTGAGTGTTCACCACCCACCACCCACCCACCGCCAGCCGTCATTAAGTGCCATGTGTACCGCCTGTCTGTCCTGCCTCTCTGTGTGCGCCGTTTGTCTCGTGGGTTCCGCCATACCTGGTGGTTATGCTCGTTGAGAGGAGGAGAGGGGGACATCGCCTGACGGAGCCTCTGCCCCTCTGCCCCCCTTCTCGCCTTTGAACTGCATAGGCCCGGAGTTGAGCCGAAGGTCAGGACAAGTCGTCCGAAGAAGAGGAAGGAAGAGGAGCGAGCGGAGGGGAGCAAAACCGTTAGCCGGTGCGGGCACGTGTCTGCGTGTGTGTAGTGGTTCGGGCGCTGTGCCACGATCCTGGTAGGCAGAGTTCGATTCCAACTTCCTGCCAAAACCGGTGACGATTATCTGAACCGATCCTGGGTCTTCTCTAGGTCGACTCAGCCTCAAATGAGTACCTGGTGCGGTGTGTAAACATCACCACTAGGGAGACAAAGGCGGCCGGGCGTTCCGACCATCATAGGTGCTTGCTTACAGCAATTGCCCCAACAGTCTGTTAAGGCTATTTTGGGGGATCTTTGTCATGGCATGCATGTGTTTGTGGGAGCGGTGGTTTGGATGTTAACGCGCACTGCACTACGCACCAGTAATTTTGGTTTGGTTTATTGCCACAAATAACATAATTGGCCAGTGATATCTGAACCTATTCTGGGCCTCCCCTAAAGTCGACTCAGCCTTGCATGAATGCCTGGTGCAAACAGTTGTAACGGTTTGGATGGTGCAGTTGGTCGAACCTCGAATGGAACATGTACGAGTAACCAAACGACTGAATAACTGATTGAGCGAACGAATGAGCGCCTTTGCGATTGATGCGAGAACGAGCGAGCCATACGAATAAACGATTAATGGCGCGGTCGAGGCGACGAATGAGCGAGCAGTGGAACGAGCGAGCTGAGTGGCTGCGTGGCGCGTCTGTCCTTTATTTAGAGTGGGAAGCTCCAAGCTGGCGTCGCGGCCCAGGCCAGCTCAGCAGCAGCAGCAGGAGGCAGCGGCAGTAACAAAACCCGTGACGGAGTCTACGGCCAGCGCGCCCTCCTCCTCCTCCAGGCCCGGGGCAGCCCAGGGAGCCGCTCTCAAGCAGGTGCGATACCATCACAGTCATCACAATGACCAAATGCATTCATTGCAATACAGTCACAGTTACTAGCACTACAGTTATAACAGGTGTGGATTTATGTAGCGTCTCGGTGTGACTACACCTCAAGACAACCGCGTCTTGAGATGCCGATCGCTTATTTTATAGCGGGAGGCCGGCAGGCGTAGGGACGAGGAGGAGATGAGGAAGGCCGTAAGCCTGGACCCTGGCCAGGGGCACGGAGTCAACAGCATGGATGGCTCGGTGGAAAGGGAGTTTCACACCGAGGGGCGGCAGAGGATGTCTTGCATGTATGTAGAACTTATTTCGCACTGTACGTGGCCAACCGTGCCGATTGGAGGCTCGTGCGAAGGACAAGAAACTAAACACAAAAAGCACGATAGATGTTTTCAACTGAGATTGAACAGTTTAAATCTCCAGTGGCTTCCTCATAAATTCTACACGCGAACGATTTGCCACAATGGAACAAACAGGTGCTGTTGGGCGACGTGACGTATGATTAGCGACGTGTCGACGTCACAGCATCGCGTGCGCAGACGTCATCGGCTGCCGCTGGAGGATGAGAAGGCCTCCTCAAGCCGTCGCCATCCCTCACGGTCACGAGGCACAACGATCCGTCGAGCTCCTGCCCGACAGGCTGAACGCATCGCTGCGACACGCGCGTTCGCGCTCGCCCACCTCTTGCGCCGTCGCGAGGTGACGTCGCGAGGTGACGTCACCGCGACTGCGCGCGTGCCGTGTGACGTCATTGCCTTCGGCGAGGCAGCTCGCCCATTCACCCTTAGATTTCATCGCCATGTTTTGCCCGTTATTTTTTTTATATGTTTCTACGGTCGTATTTCTGGGTAAGTCCCGTAAGACAACAACACTTTATTTCATGTTGAATAGTCTCTTTTTCGAGAGCCTTCGTTAAACTAAACAATTTTTATTTTACCTGCTAAGACCCACTGAGCTATGTAGCTCATTTTTAGAAGCGACCTGGCCACAAATAATGGCTCGGCAACGTTGCTTATCACGTGGACATTTATAGCAGCCAAATACTATAAAAGGCATGTTTATAAATGTGCATGGAAAAATTGGAGGACCCGGAGAAAAATGCCCACAAACACGCGAAGAATGAACACAAACTCCAAATATATACAGTAGGCATCAGGGTCTGGATCGAACCCACGACCTCCCACCGTGACGCTCACCATGACCCTATGGACAGAGCTAAGGCTTTCAATGTTTGAAGGTGTAAGAATGAGATGAACTGTCACATACTTTCCACAGGTCAGGGGTTGAGAATATCTCGTGGCACGCACCCTGGTGTGCACCACTCGCTTGGCGGTCCAACAACCCCAACACCAATCAACATTTGTGTATCCCAACTTCCGGCACGGTCGGGCGTGGCTTTAACAGCCGGCAACTTCTGCCTCGCTTGTTCTTTTTCTCGACCTCCCTCAGACCAAGGAGCACCAGGCCAAAGGTCGCGGGTCCTCCCGCACGACCTCCAGCCACCGTCGGGCCAAGCCCGGCGCTGCCCCCCATCTCGTCGCAGCCTCCTCGTCCTCGGCACCGACACCGCCGCCGCCGTCGTCACTGCTAACATCGTCCGTGGCAGCAGCAGCGACCGCTCCAATCGCCACGGAGCCGTTGACGCACGGCAACGCCAAGGCGACGGACGTGACGGCCTCGGCCACCTCGTCGTCATCGTCGTCGTCGTCCTCCTCGTCATCCTCGTCGTCCTCGTCGTCCTCTTCGTCGTCGTCTTCGTCGTCGTCATCGTCAGCCGTGTCCCCCAGGGTCAGCCCCAGCGCGAACTTGCTGAAGCTGCGGCTGAGCTCGGCTCAGGGACCTCCGCCGCCTCCTGGGCAGCCTCCCTCCTCTTCGTCGTCGGCGTCAACGGCGGTAGCCGCCGCCGCCACTGCCTCCGCCACCTCCTCACCCACCGCGTCCACCGTGACTGTCGCAGCAGCAGCAGCAGCAGCATCGTCGTCTTCAGCGGCGGCATCGTCGTCGTCATCGCTGGGCGCCGCCCCACAGGTGCGTGACGTCGGAGCTTTATCCTCAACCTTGACCTCGGTCCTGTGACCCCCTTACCCGAGGTCGCCTGCGGAGTCGTAGGAACTAAGAATGGCCGGTGGTAGCTTGGGCAGGTGAGCTGGTGTGTGTGTGCACGCGTGTGTCTGCAGGAAGGTTCATAATGGCCATGTTGGAGATGGTCGTCATGCGCTGCCAAGATCCTCTGGGTGTGCCCGGGCGATGGGTCTGGGTGAAGATGATATGATGATGGTTACAAAGATGCTGATGATGCAGACGTATCATTTTGGTTATACTGATGATGATGAAGTCATGTTGAGGTAGTTCTAGGTGAGCATCAGAATCGGAGGCAGTGTGCCAGAGGCCGGTGGGAACAGCTGAGTCAAAACGTGTTTACCTGCTTTCCTCATCTCCTCTCTTCTCTCCCTCCTCTCTTCTCCTCTCCCTTCCTCTCCCCCTCTTCTCTCCCCTCCTCTCTTCTCTCCCCCTCCTCTATTCCACAGGGGCTGGCTGTTGCGTCGTCATCGACGTCGGCAGCCGCTGCTGCCGCGGCGTTTGCACTCTCGCTGTCGGCGCCACCCGGCGTTTCCGTGGCGACGGGCGCCAGGGAGACGAGGGCCGGACCCTCCGGGCTGCAGGCGAAGCTCGCCAGTGAGCCACTCCCCCGGCCCCTCCTCCAGCCTTGCTCCCAGCACGAACGCAACCACATGCCCACAGCCCTGCCCCCAGCCCTGCCCTCAGCCCTGTCCTCAGCCCTGCCCACCGCACTGCCCGCAGCCAACAGACCGGCCGACTGTCCAGCCCATAGCCCTGTCCACCACCCTGCCCACAGGCCAGCCGACAGCCCTGCCCACAGCCCTGCCCAGAGCCCTGCCCATAGCCCTGCCCACAGGCCAGCCGACAGCCCTGCCCACCGGCCTGCCCACCGGCCTGCCCACAGCCCTCCTCACAGCCCTGCCCCCAGCCCTCTGCACAGCCGTGCCCACCGCCCTGCCCACCGTCCTGCCCACCCCCCCGCTCGCAGCCCAGGGTCGGAATTGCACCCATGACCTCCTCTATACCTAGCAAGGTATTTAACATCTCGCCACTGTGGTGCCCCAGACCCATGTCTCAAACCCAGGAACTTGGTGTCTCTGATGTGGCCATTACGAACGGCTGCCTGCGTGTGCGTGTGTAGGTCTGCGTAAGGGCAGCAGTAAGAAGAGGAGCGAGTCCCCTCCATTGGAGCTCCCCGGGCTACGGAGGAGCACTCGCCTCAAAACCACGGGCTCGTGTGCTAGCACTAGGTACCACGGTGACTCGCACGGTGACTCGCACGGTGACTCGCACGGTGACTGGCACGGTGACTCGCACGGTGACTCGCACGGTGACTCGCACGGTGACTGGCACGGTGACTCGCACGGTGACTCGCACGGTGACTCGCACGGTGACTCGCACGGTGACTCGCACGGTGACTCGCACTCGCTACTAACAATGATGACGAATATCTAGACTGGTCCTGGGCCTCACCTAGGTCGATTCAACCTTAAATGAGTACCTGATGCGCTGTGCAAATATTAGCACTGGGGAGATGATGGCGGCTGAGCGTGGCGCTGGCCACCCACCCCCTCGTGCGTCATGCCCGCCGTTATAGGCACTCGCTAACAGCACTTGCCCCAAACAGTCTGGTAAAAGCGATGTGGGTGAAGCTTTGTCTTTGTGTGTGGTTGCGTGCACTGACATCCCACCCACCATTTCCCCACCGTAGCCGCCGCGGCTCTGGACTGGGCAAGCGCGGGGGAGGGGTGGCAGAATCGCGCAGACAGGACAAGATGGCCGACAGCGATGGGAATCAGGAAGGAGGAGGTGGCGGCGGCGGAGGAGGAGGAGGCGGTGGAGGCAGCGCAGGGCCCGGGGGGGCTCGCCCCCTGGACGACGCCCCCCAGGGAGCCGCCGGTGAGTGCTCCTCCCCCCCCCCCCCCTCCACCCCAGAATGTGTGTAAGCATCAGCACGGGGGAGACAAAGGTGGCCGGGCGTGGTGCTGGCCCACACCCCCTCCTCCCTCGTGCGCTGCCGCGTAGTCCCTTTAGGTGCTTTGCCACAGCAGTCTTGGTGTGTTGCACGCGTGTGTGTGCGTGGCATCGTGTGTTTCATCTTGCTTTTCTACCCTCCACACACACTCTGCTCCAGCAACCGAAGCTTTCTATCAAAGACCCTAGTCTACCTGTGCTCGGTGGTAGGTCACTCATTCTCTGCTGACCCTGCAGTCTGGAACTCATCTCAAGAGCTTCCCTTTCTCCTCCGACTTCCTCGGTGTGAAACAAATATGCCCGCTGATTCTGCCGTCTTTTGAGATGGCGGCGCGGTGGTGTAACGGTTAAAAGGCAACTGCCCCCCTGCACCCGACCGACTATCAGCCACGGCTGACGTCCTTGGCAAATTGAATGAGAAGCAGTCTGGCTACTGCTCTCAACACCACCCCCACCACCTTCCCAGCGTTCACCAACCACTACTAACCAGCATAGTGAAGTATGGTGGAACAACCCAGATTACTGATGCGGCTTGGAGAGGCAACTCTGGCAGTGGACAAGACAAAGGGGCTGGTCGTGATAATAAAAATGGGATGGAAAACCGTGCACGTGCAAGACTTGAGCGATGCTTCCCGACGCGCCTTTGTCGTCGCTGAAAAGCAGCAGCAACAATAATAATTGTGCTCCACCTCAAGCCACACAACAAAACCACGACGCACCACTTCGCGCTAGGCCACGCCGCACGTCGTGATGTCATCGGAGAGTGAAGGAGCACACTTCCTCTTAGCACGTGTTTTGAGAATTGTTTTAAGGCTGTATTTTTTTTCTCCCAACCCTTGAGCAATGGAACTGGGTGTTTGTAATCCATTTTTAGTCGTGCTTTTTTAAAATTAAATTTAGCTGAGGTAGTAGCAGGGGGTGACGATGGTGCCATCACCAACTCTGGTAACGCCGTGTTTTCCGTGCTTCCCGTGTGTCCCTGTGCCCCTGTGTGTGTCCAGCCTCCGGATCCAGTCTGGGCGCTGTGGGCGTGGCCACGTCCGGGGAGAGCGAATCGGAGGACTCGGACATGGGCCGACTACAAGGTGCATCCTTGCTCACCTCCCAGTGTCCCTCCTCATCTGCTTATTGTAGTCTTGGCTTTGCCTAAACACGTGATGTGCTTTCATCGAAATTACAAATGTTTAAAAACTGCAAATCATAAACGATAGGACTGGGACAAAGGCATGGTTATCATTTCTTTCGCTGTGTAACACTGTGTAAGCTGCCTGGTTTGTTGTTCCACGTAAAGTTCTGAGCTTTCTTGGCAATAATCAAGCCCTCTCTTTTGTTTGCTTGTGAAACGTGAACCCCTTTAAACATGCACAGGAGTGCCTGTGCATGTTTAACACATTCGGGCTGGCCTGCCAATGATCCATCCTGAGTTTTAACCAGACTGGTTTGTGTGAGGATCTCACAGATTCTCTGGACACAGTCCTATGAGTGAGCTCCTCTGGCAGGCGAGGAATATTTAGCTACAGCCACCGCATGCCCAAGCAATTTGTGTTTGGCCGAATAGAGAGGGCTAGAGAAGAGACGGTTTGATGGGGAATGGGAGGACTTTGTGGTGGGTGGAATTGCAGACAGCCGCTACCAAAAAGTTGCTCGTAGGCAACCGCCCCCTAGCAACAACCAAAGGTGGAGGAGCGCTGGGCAGTTAAACACAGCAAGGGGGTGGCACATTGTGGGAGGACAGGTGGTGAATATGCCAGTCATGTCAGACAGTTAATCTATAACACCTGGGTCTGTCCCACATGATCTATCAGCCTCAAAGTGCACCGAACATGGAACAAGTGCTGTGGTGGCGTGACTGCTTTCTGAGTAGCGAATGTAGTTGTATTTATATGTGTGTGTAATATATATGTGTGTGTGTGTTGCACTCAGCTCTGCTGGAGGCCCGGGGGCTGCCCCCTCACCTTTTTGGCTCCCTGGGTCCGAGGATGCAGCAGCTGTTCCACCGAACCATCGGCACGGGCACCAGTGAGCAATGCGCGCACGTGCGCACACGCACGTACACGCATGCGCACACGCGCATGTACACGCACGTACACGCACACACACGTACACGCACACAACAACAACAACCGCCATTCGCCACTAAGTGGCGGTGATGCCACCACGACGCTTGTGCCAGGCTATGTGCACCCTGAGGCCACGTGAAGTGTCGAACGCCCGCTGGCAGGAGGTCACGGGGCAGACCCAGGTGCCACGGGTCGACTGACTGAGATGACTGGCTGATGCACCACCTGTGCCCCCTACTGTGCCAACCTGCTGTGCTTTAGCCACCCGGCGCTCCGCTCGTTGTTCTGAGCATCGCTCCTCCGCCCTCCGTTGTTGTTGGAGGGCGACTGCCTCCAACTGCCCAGTAGCATCCTTCACAAGCCTCCTCCACAGAGGCCGATCTTGACACCGCTGGTACCAGTCATCGGCAAGTCCACTCAGCTCCACGTCCTCCTGTACCACATCACTCCATCTCTTCTCTAGCCCGTGCCGCGCCCGCTTAGCCCCCTCAATCCGGCCAAAAAAAAGCTGTTTCGGCATGCGGTGGCTGGGCATGCGGACTACATGACCCAGCCATCACAGCCTTGCCTGCCGGAGGAGCTCACCGATGGGACCCTGCCCAGATCTTTCAAGGATTTGTGAGCTCCTCACACAATCCAGTCTGGTTAAACCCAGGATGGATCGTAGGCAGGCCAGCCTAAATGTTTCTAACCGGCGAAGATGTTCCATTAGGGGGTCCACGTTTCGCAAGCGTAGAGAAGGGAGGGAATGACCGTGGCCGAGAAGACCTGAAGCTTAGTGCGGAGCGACAGACCAGGTAGCTTCCACACAGCGTTACGCAACCGATGAAAAGATATTGCCGCTCGACTGATTCGGAGTAAGACCTCTGCTGTTAAATTGGAGCCGGTCATAAGCATACTGCCCAGGTATGGGAAACTCTTCACTCTCTCCACAACTGCCCCATCACCGATTGGGAGTTGTGGGGGTGGAGTGTCCGATGGTACAAAATACCTAGGCAGGTGCTTAGTTTTGGTGGGGCTGATGGTAAGGCCCCACCTCTTAGTGGCACGCTCCAGTCTCAGCAGCAGCGTCTCCAACTCCTCCTCTGAATGAGCGGCTATTACCAAATCATCGGCATACATAACGTGGTTGACCAATAGGGAGCCATCCCTTGACCGCACCCGGGCATCGATCTGCCTCCCATTATATCTGTACCATATGGAGATTCCCCCGGTACAGCTATTGACGGCTTCACGAACTACGTGGTCAAAATAGATGTTAAATAATGTGGGAGCCACATCCCTGTCGCACCCCAAGGTGTACAGGGAATGGCTCTGACTCCCGGCCACGTAGTTTTACCTGGGCCCGCTCACCATCATGAAGGTCCTTAATGATCGTGAGCAGAGGGTCAGGTACTCCAAAAGCACGAAGAACAACCCAGAGCCCAGGCCTACTGATGGTATCATAGGCCTTGACCATGTCAATAAAGCAGAGATGTAGGTCTTGCTGGAATTCCCTACACCTCTGCTGTAGCAGATGGACAGAAAATATGGCATCTGTGCAGGACCGTCCTTTCCTGAAACCGCATTGGGGCTCCGCAAGCCTCTCCTCAGCGTGCCTGGCAAGGCGATGTTGAATAATCCTTGCCAGGACCTTTCCCGGCACACTGAGGAGTGAGATGCCCCTGTAGTTGTTACAGTCTGTGCGGTCCCCCTTCTTAAAGAGGGGGACCACCAGGGCATCCTTCCAATCCTGCGGAACCCATCCAGTGGTCCAGACTGCTGTTATGATGTCATATAGGGCAGTCTGTGCACAAACGCCACCCTCCCTCAGCATTTCGCTTGGGAGATCATCTCTGCCCGCTGCCTTTCCTGGTCTCAGACTCCGGATCGCCTTCAGTACTTCCTCAACAGATGGCACCTCAGCCAGCCACTCACAGGGAGTGACTTCTTCCAATATTACACAACGTGTGCAAGTTATCACGCACACGCACGCACGTACGTATATCTGTCTGTTTTTGCGTATGTGTAAGTATGTGTGTGTGTGTGCACGTGCACGCGCGCGGTTGTGCCGCGGGTTAGTGTGCTGCTCTACAAACCTGGTGACCCGAGTTCGATTCTCACTCACGGCCAACACTGGTGACGAAAATCTGAACCGGTCTTGGATCTCTTCTAGGTCGACTCAGCCGCGAATGAGTACCTCATGCAGTGTGTTGCAAGCAATCGCCACTAGGGGGACAAAGGCGGCCTCGCGTGGTGCTGGGCCACACACCACCTCGTGTACCAAGCCGGCCTTCGTAGGCGCTGCTCGCTTAACAGCGCTCGCCCCAACAGTCTGTTAAGACTCTGCGGGGGGGATCTTTGTCTTTTTTTTATCTTGCTCAGGCTCCAAGGCGCAGCAGCTACTGCAGGGGCTGCAGTCGACGGGTGACGAGTCCCAGCAGCTGCAGGCCGTCATCGAGATGTGCCAGCTCCTCGTCATGGGCAACGAGGAGACGCTGGGTGGCTTCCCCGTCAAGAGCGTCGTTCCCGCGCTGGTACCCAAAATGCGGGCAGCGGCATGGCGCGGGCAACTTCGTGGCACGGGCAGCGCCACGGTGGCGAGATGTTAACTACCTCGCCTGGTATACAGGAGGTCGTGGGGTCGATCCCGACCCTGACGCCTGCTGTATATTTGGATTTTGCGTGTGTCTCACTCTCCCCGTGGTCGCGTGGATTTTTCTCCGGGTACTGCGGTTTTTCCCTCCACATTTAGAATCAACATCGCATGTTTAGAGTATTTGGCTACTGCTGTACATTTCCACACGATAAGCCACTTCGTTGAGCTATCATTTGTGATAGCCAGGTCGCTTCTGAAAAAGAGTTGAGTAGCTCAGTGGCCCTTACCTGGTAAAATAAAAGCGTTACAGTGTGGGCAGCTATGATCATGCAGGCAATGGTCTGCAAAGGTAAAACTTGAATGAGCAATTGCACGGTTCACAGAATTTCATGGACACCGTGGAATGTTTAACAAGTAGACTTTTGCGACCAATATCCATAATAGGGGTGTTTTGGGTTCGATCGCGTAAATATAAATGCGTCGTTAAACCCGCCACCATCCGGCACGGCCCAATTAATAAAGTTTGTCGCATAAACAAAACAAGCCAATTCGTTACTAGTTCAGCATACCGGTTGTGTGTTGGAGAGTAAACCCAAAACATTCACAATGAAAGTATGACGTTTTGCCGGTAATTACAACCAGCCTCATTTAGGCAATTAGCCAGAGTTTTTCAGTCTTGTTGACCATGGAGTGGAGTGGTCAACAATTTCTTAGTGGCAGCACCTCACTGACAGGACCACGCTCGCCTTAGCGTTAAGACTGTCCCAACCCACTACTAACCTCTGATCCTCACCTCTAACATGAATTCTACCGCTATTCCTAACCCCTCGCCATAACGCTAACCCTAACTAAATCACTTGAACCGTAACACTAACCCCTAAGATCACGGCCACCCTTTATCACTGACCTCTTACCCATAACATTAATACCACTACACCTGGAACTATAACTGGTACCGTTATCGTGACCCTTAACCCTGAAGGCCACCCATGACCCTAATGCTTCTCTCCCCCCACTCTTCGGCTCCACAGATCAGCCTGCTACAGATGGAGCACAACTTTGACATGGTAAGTGACGCTGGAAGCAAGGGGGAAGTCGTGGTTTAGTGGCCGCGCGTGCATATAGGGGCCTGTGTGTCATGGCTGTTGGAGCACGCATGTGCATCATGACGGTGACTGTGTTGCTCGAGGGGTGTACTTGTCCCTTTGACAGCGCGTTTGTATTTTATTAGTGTGTGTATGCGTGCGCGCATTTGTGCGAAGAACGGTAGCGTCGTGGTCATCGCACTGCGCGACAAGCCCAACGACCTGAGTTCGATTCCTGCTCGCGGCCAACGGCGGTGACATATCTGAACCAGTCCTGGGGCTATTTCAGAATCTGGGGTGGTGTGTAAATAATCATCATTGAGAAGACAAAGGGGGCCGAGTGTGGTTCTCGCCGCCCCTCGTGTGCTGCTGGACTTAATAGGTCCTCGACAAAAGTACTTTCATGTTTAGTTTGTTTTCCTTCCTGCCGCACCTCCAATTAGCACGATTGGCTACGTACGGTGCAAATTAAGTTCATCATGCATACAGCACTTGCCTCCACAGTCTGTTAGAGACAAGGGGGGGGGTGATGTCTGTGTACGTTATTCATGTATTTGTTGAACACGTAGGCTTTCGCGACCAATATCCATAATATAGCTTTGTATTCGCGTGTACATGTGCATTCGTATACTTTTGTATAAAATGCCTTTATACGTGTACATATGTGCGAGTACATGTGTGTGTGCGCGTGTGCCTTTGTACACGAGTTGTATTTTATTAGTGTTTGTGCACATGTACGTGGGGAGCACTAATGGAACGGTTCGCGCATTGCGCTGCGAACCCAACGACCCGGTTTTGATTCCCCACTCATGGTCAACACGAGTGACGATTTCTGCTCATGATCAACACATGGCCAACTCAGCCCAAAATGAATACCCGGTGCGGTGTGTAGACATCGCCACTAGGGAGACAGGCGGCTGGGCTTGGTGCTGGTCATCCACCCCCTCGGGTGCCGTGCCGGCCTTAAGTGCTCGCTAACAGCACTTGCTCCAACAGTCTGTTAAGTCTACACGGGGGATTTTTGTGTTTGTGCGCGTATGAGCAGATGAACCACGCGTGCCGTGCCCTCACATACATGATGGAGGCTCTGCCGCGCTCGTCGGCAGTGGTGGTGGAGGCCGTGCCCGCACTGGTGGAGAAGGTAGGTGACAGGCGGCAGAGGTGGCGGTGGGTGGGCACAGTTATTTGCAGTGATGGTGAAGTTGCGCGCTCTTCCTTTTACGGCTGCAGGTGTCAGTGTCGGTGGTAGTTCGTGCGGAGCGGTAGTGCAACGGTTAGTGTGCTGTGCTACAAATCCAGGAACCCGAGTTCGATTCCCTGCTTGCAACCAACACCAGTGACAATTATCTGAACTGGTTCTGGGGTGCCCCTAGGTCGACTCAGCCCCAAATGAGTACCCGGTGGGGTGTGTTAACATTGCCACTACAGAGACAGGTGGCCAGGTGTAGTGTTGGCCACCCACCCCCTCGTGTACTGTGTCGGCCTTCATAGGTTCTCACTAGCAGCACTTGCCCCAACAATGTGTTAAGGCTCTGCAGAGGATCTTTGTCTTTGGCAGTTTTCCCACGGCACCTGGGTCTGTCCTGTGACCACCTGCCAGCGAGTCTTCGACACTTCACGTGACGGCCTCAAGTGCACCTAGCCTGGCACAAGCACTGTGGTGACATCACTGCCACGAATGGCAGCTGTGTTATCGCTGCGCCACCCTGCCGCCTATATCAAGACCCTGTGCCATCAGGATCTTGATGTGATAATGTCACGTGGCATCGGCGTCCTCTGGAGGAGATACGTTCGTCGTGGTGTTAAACAAAGGTGGCTGTGTGATACGGCTTGGATTATTTGTTCCGCCACTCAGGATCTTGTTGTTTGTTGGTAGTAATTGTTGGCAGTAAAGGTCGTGGTTGTTGTTACTCGTTGTAGTTATACGGTTGTGGTCTTACAGCTGCAGGTGATCCAGTGCATGGACGTGGCTGAACAGGCGCTCACCGCCCTCGAGATGCTGTCACGGAGACACAGCAAGGCCGTGCTGCAGGCTGTGAGGCCCTCATCTCCTCACCACCGCCTCCTCACCACCACCTGAAACCTATACACATCTCCGCACGCGTCCCCACCCACCTTGCACATCCTCGGCAACCAGAACACCTCCTCACAAACTCCTCACCCACTCGGCACGCCTTCCCCTTGCACCTCCACAACACCTCACCAACTTGCCTCCTCACCACATCACACCTCATAAACAAGGCATGCATGCCTGTGTGTGTGTATATATGTGCCCACATTTGCATAGGAATACCTGCACATGTATGTTCACGTACCCAGCTGCCCATGTGTGTGTGTACCATCACCTGTCTGACCTGCCCTGTGTGTGTTGCCCGTACGTGTGTGGCTCACCTGCACGTTCCGTGCGTGCATTTGTGCTCGCCTTCCGGTGTCTTAGCATGTGTGCTCACCTGGCCGTGACTGTGCGTTTGTGCTCTCCCACCTGCCCGCGTGCGATCAGGGCGGCCTGGCCGCGAGCCTCCTCTACCTGGAGTTCTTCAGCATCAGCGCTCACCGCAATGCCCTCGCCATCGCCGCCAACTGCTGCCAGAGCGTCACCACGGACGACTTCCACCTCGTCTCCGACTCCCTGCCCCTTCTCTCCGCTCGCCTCTCCCACCAGGCATGTGGCGGCCTATAGATATAACTGCTCAACCTGAGCTATTGATACTTTGATGCGTGCATTGCCTTTGTGCTGTTCGCCTTTTGCCGTTTTCTGGTCTAACACTGGTGGTGAGACAAGCCAATTAAGAAGAAGGCTGTCTGTGGTTTATATATTATCTATCAGAGCACATTTGTTTGCATGTCCACCGCAAGTGCTCTTTGTAGAAGGGACACAATATTATTTTATTTTATAAGAACCAAGAATAAGAATATACCTCCTGTTTTATTGCCAGAAAGCGGAACACCTATTCTTATTATTTCATCATACAAACTGCACTCTGAAAACGCCCCATTCAGGAGTCTAACCCAGAAGTTTCTTGCTGTGAGCCAAGAGCATTAACGCTGCGTCACCCTGCCGCCCGTATCAAGATCCTATTGCATCAAGATCTCGATGTAATATTTGCTAAATTGCTGCCGGATTTACGTCGAGTATTTACACTGAATCATTAAGAATCCTAAACGTGGTCTGATGCCACTTGGGCAGCTCGAATCAGAATCAGAATCTTTATTTATCCTGGAGAAATCCGATGAGCAATGAAGCTCTTTTTCACATACGTCCAATAGGGGTGGGTCATTAAGTTACGGCAAACAATAAAAAACGATATGAGTGCTAAATATAGGAAAGATAAGCAAATCACTATGAATAAATAAATAGCCTGAAACTTAACTTTTAGATTTTGTTCAGGTAAAGTTCACTGAGCTAATAGTAAGTTTTCCGAAGTGACCTTTACCACATAATAGCTGAACAAGTGAATGAGCATATGGACATTTTTAACAGCCAAATGATCTTCGGTATACCTATGCCCACCTGTAATTTAAAGTGTGTGTGTGTATATATACGCGCGCACACACACAAGTATCCTTCAGATAAATCGAATTGTTACCTCGGATTATAAATATTCAGCAAGATGCGACGGTCAGAGCAGCGTTATCGTGTTCATCGTCAGAGTGCAGTGGTGGGTGTTGTCGATTGTTATTGGAGTGTTTTTTTACATTGCAACAACATCCGTAAACATCCATTCCGGTGCGGTGGAAGCAAATGGAAAGGGCGAAACGAAGGGGTTATTGGTGTGTTGATACGCAAAAGGCCATGGTGGGTGTTTGTTGTTATGTGTAAATAGGGATAGGTGGTGTTGGTGTTTGTTGTTGATTGTCATCGTTGTGTGTTTGTTTCAGGATAAGAAGTCTGTGGAAAGCGCTTGCCTCTGCTTCACCCGCCTCGTCGACAACTTCCAGCACGATGAGGTGCGGGCGTTCCCCCCCACCCCTCAAATTTACACCCACACTTACTTACTGCCCTCCTCACTCACCCAGTCATCCACCCACCCTCTTACTCACTCGCCCACTTGTCAGTTCCCTGTTCCATTCACCCGATCGCCCGCTCCGGTGCTAACCTGCTCACTCGCTCGTCCGCTTGTCCACCCACCCACTCAACCCACGCTAAACCAAACCTACCTTCCTTCTCTCCGCTCGTGCACCCAATCGCCGCGTGTGCGTGCGTGCAGGCCCTGTTGCAGCAGGTGGCCGCGCACGAGCTGCTTACGAACGTGCAGCAGCTGCTGGTGATGTCGCCGCCGGTGCTGAGCTCGGGGATGTTCATCATGGTGGTGCGCATGCTCGCCGTCGTGTGCGGCCACTGCCCGCAGCTCGCAGCGCGGCTCATGCGCCAGAGTGAGTGCGCAGCACGCACGCACGTGCTTACATAAATGCGTCAAACCGCACGCACGTAAATGAGCGTTCACACAGCTCGCAAGCGCGGCTTGTGCGCCAGAGTGAGGACGAGACACGCACGTGCTCTCACACGTACTCGCGCATACACGCAGCTCGCAGTGCGACTTGTGCGCCAAAGTGGACCGCTCGCATCCACATGCCTGTGCACTCTGCGGCATGAACCCGGTGACCCGAGTTCGATTTCCGCTCATGGCCAACACCGGTGACTGGTGATCTGAACCAGTCCGTGGCCTCCCCTAGGTCGTGTAAAAATAGCACTGTGGAGATGAAGGCTGTGGTGTTGGCCATCCATCCCCTTGTGTGCCGTACCGGCTTTCATTTGTACAAGTGCATGTGTGTGCTATTTCATCTCTGTCAAACAACCAAATGGCATTTAGATCTGTCCTGTGACCTTCCAGAAAACTTTCGACACTTTACGTGGCCTCAAAGTGCACTTGACCTAGCAGGAGTGCCGTAATGACATCGCTGCCACTTAATGGCGAATGGTGATTGTTGTCTATGCCTTTGTGAGTCCGTATAGTAGTGTGTGTGTGTCTGCTAATGCGTGTGTGTGCCTATATTTAGACATCGCTGAGACTCTGAGCTTCCTGCTGTGTGGGACATCGGACAGCAGCAATCAGGAGACGATCGAGCTGGTGGCTCGCAGCCCCCAGGAGCTCTATGAGCTCACCTCGCTCATCTGGTGAGTGGCCCTGCCGTGGACACGCTGGCCCCTGCCATGGGAATATATAAATGTGTGTGTGTGCCGTAGCGAGATGATGCCACGTGTGTGCGCTGTCGCGAGCTGATGCCACGTGTGAATTTGTGCTGTGTGTGTACCGTCTGTTTGCCGTGCGAGCTGATGCTGTGTGTGTTTACTGTTTGAGTGCCCAAGTTAGCTGATACCCTGCATGTATGTATGTAGAACTTCTTTCAAACCGTACATAACCAACAGTGCTAATCAGAGGTGTGCGCGTGTACCGTGTGTGTGTGTGCTGTAGCGAGCTCATGCCTTGTGTTTGTGTGTGTACTGTGTGCGTGTCGTAGAGAGCCGATTCCGTGTGTGTACCCGCGTTTGTGTGCTTTAGCAAGCTGATGCAATGTGTTTGCTGTGTGTGCGCTGTAGCGAGCTGATGCCGTGTGTGAGCTGTAGCAAGAAGATGCCACGTGTGTGTGTGTACCGTGTCTGTGCCGTAGTGGGGAGCGGTAGTGTAGCCGTTAGCGCGCTGCACTACGAAACTGGCAACCCGGGTTCGATTCCCGCTCGCGGCCAACACCAGTGAAGGTTATCTGAATCGGTCATGGACCTCCCCTAGGTCAACTCGGCCTCAAATGAGTGCCTCGTGTGGTATGTAAACATCACCACTGGGGAGACAAAGGCGGCCGGGCGTGGTGTTAGCCACCCACCCCCTCGTGTGCCGTGACGGGCTTCATAGGTGCTCGCTAACAGCACTTGCCCCGACAGTCTGTTACAAGCTATACGGGGGGGGGGTCTTTGACTTTGTGCCGTAGTGAGCCGTTTCTGTGTGTGCACGCCATAGCGAACTGATGCCACGTGTATGTGTGCACTGTGTGTGTGTGTGCTGAAATGAGCTGATGCCATGTGTGTGTGCACGCCGTAGCAAGCTGATACCACGTGTGTGTGTGTGCCGTAGCGAGCTGATGCCGTGCTTGCCGCGGGACGGTATTTTCGGCGTGGACGCGATGCTGAAGAAGGGCGGGGCGCACACGCCGGACGCGTCCTCGTGGCAGTGGAGGGACGACCGCGGCGCGTGGCACGCCTACTCGCACATCGACTGCCGTATCATCGAGGTGACGGCGCTGTTAATACAATAAAATCGGGGACACCCAACGAAACCACCGGTCAGAGATCTGTCTATACAGGAGGCGTGGTGTTGCCCAAAGGGGGTGTGTCTTTGCCCATATATGGTCTTTTTGGATCGTGAATTGAGGTTAATCGTATCGCTTCCTGCTCTCAGTCGATCCGGCAAGCCAGCTCAAAGTCTTTCGTAATTTCATTGCCAGTCGATCCATGGATCGAGTAATCCCATTGGTTAGTATATCGTCATGTGACACGCCCCCTTTTTTTGATTGGCTAATATCTGCATGATCGGTGATTCCGCCGCAGTCCGATTTGATTGTATCAAAGCAGCGTCTCGGCGCACGAGCAAGAAGAGAGAGAGGAAGGCTTAAGTGCTCCGAGGGGTTAAACGCGACATCCATTAAAACTCTCTCAGGGGTGGTAGAACGTGGGGTTTAAATGGTTTCAGCTTGAAACCCAAGCACAATGGATTCAACTCACTTGGGGTGTAAGTGTGAGCCGGGCGTCCCTGTATCACGTGATCGTTTGCGTGCGTTTACTGTGCATTCGTTTGTGCATTTCCTTTTGACATCTGGCCACGTTGGCGAGGTGTTAACTACCTCGCCTGTTATGTAGAAGGTTGTGGGTTCGATCTCGAATCTGATGCCTGCTGTACATTTGGAGTTTGCTTGTCTCTCTGTCTCCCTGTTGTCGCGTGGATTTTTGTCCGGGTCCTCCGGTTGTTCCCTCCACATTTGTTCCCTCCACATAACATGCATTTAGAGTATTTGGCTGCTATAAATATTCACGTGATAAGCCACTTCGTTGAGCTATCATTTGAGGCCATGTCACTTCTGAAAAAGAGCAATATAGCTCGGTAGGCCTTAACTACTGGTAAAATAGATGGTATAGTTAGTTTGTTAATTAATTGCTGTGTTCACCCTCTCCCGTCCCCCCGGTCACGGGCGGCCAGGCTGCCCACGTGTCGGGCGAGGACGAGATCAGCCTGTCCACGCTAGGCCGCGTCTACACCATCGACTTCAACTCCATGCAGCAAATCAACGAGGACACCGGCACCGCACGTCCCATTCAGCGCAAGCCCAACCCCCTCGCGCCCGGTGAGCAAATGTTTCGATTTAAAGCTTTCGTGACTGCAATGATTCATCTTCTTTGGTTCTTTCGGTAAAGTCACGTAGAATGAGAATAAAATAATAAATTGATAAAATAAAATAACACAATAATATTCTCACGACGTTTCGGCCACAACACAAGCAGCCTTCATCAGGTGAAGGGAGCGAGACTGTCTGGTAGGACAGCGCTGGAGTGAGAGAGCCACGTTCAGATCACGGCTTTTAAGCTGTGTGGGAGGAACAAAGAGCCTTGACGAAGGAATTAGCATAAAATTTAGCATTGAAAAGGCTGAATGATTAGCTTGTGACTGGTCACAGAAATAGCTATGTTAAAAGTTGATGTGTATGCTTTAACTTTTAACATAGCTATTTCTGTGACCAGTCACAAGCTAATCATTCAGCCTTTTCAATGCTAAATTTTATGCTAATTCCTTCGTCAAGGCTCTTTGTTCCTCCCACACAGCTTAAAAGCCGTGATCTGAACGTGGCTCTCTCACTCCAGCGCTGTCCTACCAGACAGTCTCGCTCCCTTCACCTGATGAAGGCCGCTTGTGTTGTGGCCGAAACGTCGTGAGAATATTATTGTGTTATTTTATTTTATCAATTTATTATTTTATTCTCATTCTACGTGACTTTACCGAAAGAACCAAAGAAGAGCAAATGTTTGTTTATTTGTTCGACATTCTATTGCGATGTTCTGGAGCCGAGAACTTAAGGATTTCTCTGCACCCGCTGTAACATCTGCTTCACTGTGTATGCGACCAATGAACTGTGATTGATTGATACATCTCCCCGTCTAGGCGCGACGCGGCTGAGTGCGGCGGGCGGCTTGGAACCGCGCCCTGCGGACGATGCGCGCACGGCACTCATGCGCACGGAGCCGGCGCTCGCCAAGAACTTTGTGCGCACGCTGTTCGGGGTCCTCTACGAGGCCTACAGCTCGTCGGCCGGCCCCGCCGTGCGCCACAAGTGCCTGCGCGCCATCCTCCGCATCGTCTACTTCGCGGAGGCGGAGCTCCTCGTTGACGTGCTCAAGAACCAGGCCGTGTCCAGGTGCGCGGGCGCCAGGGGCATAGGGGGGTGGGGGAGAAGAGACTGGTGGGAGATGATTGTGGTGTTGGTGGTGGTGGTGTCGGGAGGAATGGCTGTGGTGGTGGATGGAGAGTGGTGGTGGGAGGAGGTGGTGGTAATGCGTAGTGCTGGCCACCCATCCTCTCGTGTGCCATGCCAGCCTTCATCGGTGCTGCTACTTGCTCATAGCACTTGCCCCAACAGCCCGTGTGAGCTACACGGGGGACCTTTGTCTTTTGACCTTTGGTAATGTTAGCAGTGGAAGCTAAACTATTTAAACTAAAACTATTTTTATTTTACCAGGTAAGGCCCACTGAGTTATAGCTATTTTTCAGAAGGGACCTGGCCACGTGATTGCTCAATGAAGTGGCTTTTGTGGAAATTGATAGCAGCCAAAGACTCTAAACCCATGTTGATCCTAAATGTGGAGGGAAAAACCGGAGGATCCGGAGAAAAATCCACGCGATCACGAGGAGGACATGCCAACTCCAAATATATCAGCGCCAGGGTCGGGATCGAACCTCCTGTGTATGCCAGGCGAGGTAGTTATCATATCCTAGCCACCGAGGTGTGGTCGTGTTGTGTCGCGCCTCGCCACGTCGTGTCCTCCCCATGTCCTAATCGTGCGTCGTGTCTCGTCGCCCGCAGCCACATCGCGTCGATGCTGTCGAGCCAGGATCTGAAGGTGGTGGTGGGCGCGCTGCAGATGGCCGAGATCCTCATGCAGAAGCTGCCGGACATTTTCCACATTTACTTCAGGAGGGAAGGTGAGGGAGGCCCTATCACCCCCCCCCACCTCGCCACTCCCAACGCCAGCGGTCACCGGAGAGAGTCGACAGTCGACCTCTTCGGTGTTCTATCTCCCGCGGTTAATTTCGTCCGCCAAATCCTATGACGGTTGAGCTAACGGTGTCGTGATGCTGAACATTAGGAGGTGAGCACTGCATTTCCTAGTGTTCGGAGAACGGTCCGTGGATGTCGACGTCGCAGAACTATCATTTGAAATTTGCTTCTTGTTACCGATCGTGCACAGTCGGGTCAGCGGCACGTTCCGCCCGTCCATGTTACGGAGAGTGACGTGTGTCGCGTGACGGTCAAAATCAATCATTGTTATTCTGGAAATTACAAAAATTAATCAATAAGGTTGTATTTAATCACCGACATTCTTCCTGGATTCAAACCTAGGTTCTCAGTGGTGCTAGATCTCTGATCCACCTGGCCACCTACAAAGATCTATTTAAATCAATCGGCTTAAGCATAGTCACACTACCAACCTCATCGTTACCATCCTGCATCCCCCCCAACCTCCTGCCGTGTCTCCGTGCCCAGGTGTGATGCACCAGGTGAAGACGCTGTCCGAGTCGGACTCGGCGCTGGCGAGCCCGCAGAAGGACGCGGGGAACCTGGCGATCGGCGTGGGGCTGGGGCTGGGGGCCCCCCACGCTTCGGCGGTTGGGGGGGGGCACACCCCCTCCCCCATCTCGGCGTGCGCCTCGGCCGGCACGCCGAGCCCGTCGTCCGACACGCACACGCCCAGCTTCCACACGACGAGCACCGACGACTCGCTCGACTACGCCACGCAGGGGTGCGCGCTCGCCCGCACGCTCGCTCTTCTTGCACGCTCGCTTGCTCGCTCAACCGTTTACCCGCTCGCCCGTCGAATCCCTCGCTCGCTCACCAGGCCGCCCTGGTGACTCCTGTCGCGGCTCACCCGCTTGCCGAATCGCTCACTCGGCTGCACATCCGGCGAATCGCTGGCTCCATCCCTCGCCGACTTGCGTTGTCATGTGCGTGCTGTGCAGACGGCTGAGTGACGTGCTGAAGCGCAAGCGTCTGCCTAAGAGAACGACGCGGAGAACCAAGTACTCGCCCACGCGGGAGGAGGGACAGAGGGATGCCTCTGGTAACCGCTGTGCTCCCGCTCGCTCGCCCACTTGGTTTACCCACCCATTTTCCAGCTCTTGCTCGCCCGCTCCCCCACTCGACCCCCAATTGACCCCCACCCCCACCCCCCCCCCCCGATAACCTCTCCGATGACCCCCACAGCCAAGAGCCCGACGGCCTCGACCTCCCCCAAGTCGTTCTTCGGGAGCCTCAACCCGAGCCGCTGGGGTCGATCGGCGGGGCACGCCGCCCAGTCCTCGGCCTCCTCCTCGTCCTCCTCGTCGCACACTCACCCCGTGCCCTCGTCCTCCTCCACCTCGTCCTCCTCCTCGCACCTCCTCCACGGGGTGGCTGCCCCCTCCCCTGCGGGGCTGGGGGTCGCCAACCAGGTGGGCGGGGCCGGTGGAGTGGGCGCGGAGGGGCTGAGGCTGCAGGGGATCGTGCGGGGAGGGGCGCACAGGGAGGCGGCGCACACCAATCGGTGTGTACCACGCCCACACGTCATGCACCCACCACACACGACACACACTGTACACCAATCGGTGTGTACCACGCCCACACGTCATGCACCCACCACACACGACACACACTGTACACCAATCGGTGTGTACCACGCCCACACGTCATGCACCCACCACACACGACACACACTGTACACCAATCGGTGTGTACCACGCCCACACGTGCATGCACCCACCACACACGACACACACTGTACACCAAGCGGTGTGTACCACGCCCACACGTGCATGCACCGAATTTTCACACGCACGTCATGCACCCACCACACACGACACACACTGTACACCAATCGGTGTGTACCACGCCCACACGTGCATGCACCGAATTTTCACACGCACGTCATGCACCCACCACACACGACACACACTTGTACACCAATCGGTGTGTACCACGCCCACACGTGCATGCACCCAATTTTCACACGCACGTCATGCACCCACCACACACGACACACACTGTACACCAAGCGGTGTGTACCACGCCCACACGTGCATGCACCGAATTTGCACACGCACGTCATGCACCCACCACACACGACACACACTGTACAATCGGTGTGTACCACGCCCACACGTGCATGCACCGAATTTTCACACGCACGTCATGCACCCACCACACACGACACACACTGTACACCAAGCGGTGTATACCACGCCACTGTGTGGTAACCGTATGTGTTCCCAGGGATAAGATCCGCGCGTGGATCAAGGAGCAGGCCGGCCGCTTCCTGCAGCGCTACTTCAGCTCCGACCCGCCCAGCGACGGTGCCACCCCGGCCCTCGGGGTGCTGCAGCGCCTGTGCCATGCAGCACACAACCTCAACTCACAGGTACGACCGCACCACAGCCACTACTCCCACTGCCAACGATCACCGCCACAACCACCACCAACAATCAACGCCACAACCACCGCCACGATTATCGCCACTACCACGATGACCACTGCCGCTACCACCGCTGCTACCACCGCCACTGCCACCACAACCACCGCCACTACCATCGCGGCAAACGCCACCACTACCACCAGAATCACTGCCACTACCACTGCCAACAAACACCGCCACGATCAACGCCATTACCTCCGCCACTACGAACACCACTCGAAACGCCACACCTAACACCTCCAACATCAATGCTACCACCATCAACAACATTCCATTCTACCACCACTCCCACAACAATCACTCCTAAAATTACTTGCCACCATTACCATCGCCATCACACGATTAAATCAGAATATTTATTTATACTGGAGGAAGCCTATTGATCTATAAAGCTCTTTTTCACAGACGTCCAGTCAATGCACACTTGAATGCACGCGCACGCCCTAACCGCCATGCCTGCCTGTGTGTCCCTCCGTCCGTCCATCTGTCCGCGCGTCCCCCGCGTGTGCAGCCGGACGGGGGTCTGCACTGCCTGCAGGAGATGCGCTGCATCGTGCTCGACTCGGACGTGTCGTCGTTTGAGATCCAGCACAGTGGCACCGTCTCCAAGCTGCTGCACTACCTTAGTGGGCCTGGCGAATGCCGCCACGCCCGCAGCCGCCGCTTTCTGCACGTCTTCATGGGCTGCCCGGTAAAAAAACGAACCTGCCACACGAACTCCGGTCATCCTCGCAAGTGGGGGGGATTTTTGGCCAGCCATCGGACAAAGACGGTCCACTGTATTGCACGGCGCTTTCCAATGCGTCTTTGCGTCCGCCTGTAACGCTCTTCCTTCCGATATTAGGAAGCCACTGGAGCTATGCACTTTTAAATCTAGATTGAAAAGTAATTTCTTTAAAACTGCGTTTTGTGTTTAGTTGTCCTTGCCCTCGCATCTCTGATAGCACTGTTGGCTACGTACGGTGCGAAAGAAGTTCCACATACATACAATGAATATCCATTTTCGATGCGGGGTTACGCAATAGAAACCTGGTTAACAGAAACACCGAACGCATTGGTGTGTAAACATAAGAATCGGGGAAACTTCGGCTGCCGAGCCTGGTGCTGGCCACACCACCCCCTCGTGTGCTGTGCCAGACTTCATAGGTGCTCACTAACAGCAGTTTCCCGAACAGTCTGTTAAGGCTATACAAAGGGGGGGCGTCTTTGGTAGTTATCCCTTGGCACCTGAGTCTGTTCTGTGACTACTTGCCGGTGGAGGGCAGAAGAAGAGCGACGCTCACAATGAAGCGGAGTGCCGGGCGGCTAAAATATGCAGCAAGTTGGCACCTAGGTCTGTCCCGTGACCGCCTGCCAGTGAGCCTAAGACACTTCCACGTGCAGGCCTCAAAGTGCACCTAGCCTGGCCCACAAGTGCTGTGGTGACGTCGCTGCCCACTGTCTTTTGTTGCGTGAATGCCAATTCCTCTCCTTGCCAACAACCCCCACCCCCTCCACCCAACTTGCAGCCCCCCGAGGAGGGGCCGGGCCGGGGCGTGGATCCTCCTGACACGGCCCCGCTGCTCGCGCTCGTGCAGAAGATGAACCTGTGCCTCTCCCAGCTGGAGCAGTTCCCGGTCAAGGTTCACGACCTCCCCAGCGGCAATGGCACAGGCAGCAGGTGCTGCCCCCCCCCCCCCCCCCCCTGGAGAGCTGTAGAGCAGTCCGCGGAGAGGAAGGAAGCTCGCGTAACGTGTTACCGCGTGTTCGCTCTCTCTCCAAACGTGCGCCCCCCCGCATCTTACAAAGTGTTTAATTAGCGAGTGCACAAAAGCAGCAAAAAGGCGTTGACGTAATTTGCAAATCGCTTTTTTTTTAGTCCTGGATTTCTCTTCCGAGTCTTGCGCAACACTGTTGATGATTAATGTGGCCGATTTGCTGCCATAGGAGATACGACCCTCGTAGCGACTCGCTACAGTCTGGTGCTCATCGGGTCAGCTTAACGAGAATGATCCTGTCCCACCCCACGTTACGAACAGAGCCAATGTGTAGGTTAATAAAAATTGTTATAACATGAGACCTTTCTTGTCAGTATCCAAGTGTAAGAATAGTTCTTACCCTTTCTGGAAATAAACAGGTGTTTCAGATGTTCAAACGCCAAACAGAAACCTTTTGTAAGGCATCATGTCTGCATGAACCACACATACTTGTGGTTGCCATTCCGTCACCAGTCTCATCCATTGCCCACAGTTGACGTGCCCCCTTGTTGCATCTACATTGAAACTTCCTTCAAGAATTTGCTTTTTGTGTTTAGGTTGTTGTCCTTCTTACCCCCACCCAGCACCTCCGATTAGCACAGTTTCACATACATACATACATCCTGCGCAGGGCTGCCCTGCGTGCGTAGCTATACAGGATAAGAGCTGTGTGCGGTCGCAGCTCCTCTTTTACTCTGGCGTTGCGCAGTTGTGTGTGTGTGTGTGTGCTCACAACGAGTGGAGCACCGGGCGGATAAAACACAGCAGGTCGGCACAGTAGGGGTCACTGATGGTGCATTGGCCAGTCATCTCAGTCATCGCAACCTATGGCACCTGGATCTGCCCCGTGACCTCCTGCTAGCGGGTGTTTGACACTTCACGTGGTCTTCAAGTCCACATAGCCTGGCAGAAGCGCCATAGTGACATCACCGCCACTTAGTGGCGAATGGCGGTTGTTGTTGGCTGTGTTTGCGCATGCATGCGTATTCCAATGTGCACATGCGTGTGTTCACATGTGTGTTCACACGTGTGTGCGTGTGGCGTGCGTGCAGGGGATCACAAGCGCTCAAGTTTTTTAACACGCACCAGCTCAAGTGTCAGCTGATCCGACACCCGGACTGCTCCACTGTGAAGCAGTGGAAGGGGGGGGCCGTGAAGATCGACCCCCTCGCGTTGGTTCAGGCCATCGAGAGATACCTCGTGGTCAGAGGTGCGTACGCGCGTGTGTCTTGTGCGCATGCGTGCTGCTGGCCACCCACCCCCTCCTTGTGTGCCGCTCCGGCCTTCGTAGGTGCTACTCGCTAACACCACGTGCACCAACAGTTTGCTTAGGCTGTACGGGGCTTCTTACTGGTAGGAACCTCCTGGTTACACCAGCCCACAGGGGAGGGGTGGGGATGGGTGGGGAGGGTGAGGCTGGGTGGGGGGTGGGAGGGGTGGAGCTGGGTGGGGAGGGGCTGGTCACCCCGTGGTGCCCTTATAAAACTCAACGTTTAACCTACTCACGCCGGCGTGTGCCCGCCCTCACAGTCGGGCATATTGTGCGGAATACACCACGTGGTGGTGCCGCCGTTGTTGACCCTGGCCATTGACCGAGCAACCCAATGTTCCTACCAGCTCCCTCCGCAGGAATGTGTTTGTTTTGTGTGTGCGTGCGCGCGTGTGCGATTGTACACACGAGGTTGGCGTGATGAGAATAGTGATGTGAGCGCACGTGAGTGAGTTTGCATACAACGTGGGGAGTGGTAGTGTAGCGGTTATCGTTTTGAGTTTGGGCTGCTGGGTTCGTATCGCAATTCCCACTCACGGCCAAAAACAGTGACTGAATATTTTTACTTGTCCTGGGCCTCCCCTAGGTTAACTCAGCCTCAGCTTAGTACCTGGCCTTGTGTGTACATCACCACTGGGGAGGCAAAAGCGTCCGGACGTGGTGTTGGCCACCCCCCCCCCCCCCTCGTGTGTTGTGGCCGGCCTTCATAGGTGCTCGCTAACAGCACTTGCCCCAACAGTCTGTTCAGACTATACGGGGGATCTTTGTCTTTGTACATGCTCCCGTGATCCTCTCCGCCCGTGCTCGCAGGGTACGGGCGCATTCGCGACGAGGATGACGACAGCGACGAGGACGCGTCGGACGACGAGGTGGACGAGTCTCTGGTAAGGCTGCCGCCCCTCGTTGTGAGTGTCCTCACGAGCGCCGTGCAGCGTCAACTTTACCCCGGCGGCGCTGCATCGTGGCGCAGAGCAGAGCGTCGGCCCCATGTTGCACGACAGAATATGGAAGAGGATGTCGCACAGCTATGTCCGAGATCTCTTCAGGTGGCCTTGGCCTCCCCGTGCTTCCGTATTACTCCTGTTCCGCACGTCACTCCATAAGTGCCTGTATTGCTCTGCGCCTCCCCGTGTCTCCCCTGGTGTCATTTTGTCATGTTCTGTTTGTTGGTTCATTCTTGTAAAACAGCTTGAGGCTGACTCTTTCTTGCTTCCCTGTCCCCCCGCGTCTACCCGTGTGACCCCGCGTCTACCCGTGTGACCCCGCGTCCACCCGTGTGACCCCGTGTCACCCCGCGTCTACCCGTGTGACCCCGCGTCTACCCGTGTGACCCCGCGTCCACCCGTGTGACCCCGTGTCACCCCGCGTCTACCCGTGTGACCCCGCGTCTACCCGTGTGACCCCTCGTCTACCCGTGTGACCCCGTGTGACCCCGCGTCTACCCGTGTGACCCCTCGTCTACCCGTGTGACCCCGTGTGACCCCGCGTCTACCCGTGTGACCCCCGCGTCTCCCCGTGCCTCCCCCGTGTTGGTGTCTAACTCTGCGTCCCCCCTCACCCTCTGCCCAGGCGGCCCAGTTCCTGAGCGCTGGCAGCGTGCGGCACCGGCTGGTGTTCTACATGGGCGAGCACCCGTTGCCGTACAACATGACCGTGTACCAGGCGATCCGCCAGTTCGGGCTGCCCAGCGAAGAGGAACGCGAGAGCACTGACGAGGAGAGCAACCCCCTGGGCCGCGCCGGCATCTGGATCAAGACTCACACCATCTGGTGACGACCGCGCGCGTGCGCGGCACACACGATGCGCACAAGCTCACGGGGGAGGGGAGGAGACGTGGAGACACGGTAGGAGAGCAAAGCCATGGGCGGGAGAGGAAGAGGAGACACGGTGGGGAGAGGGGAGAGGAAGGGGGAGACACGGTGAGGAGAGGGGAGAGGAGGGGGATGCACAGTGGGGCATCATCTGCATGGAAAAGTGGCTTGATGGGAGAGTGGCGGCGTTTGTGAATAGTGATTCCGATGACAAATAGTGATGGTGTTGAACACAAGGACGACACTGGCTTTACTATTACTGATACTGATGACATTGGCGATGACTGATTTTGACGGATGGTGACGTTAAAATACCAATGCTGGCCGTGCAGACCGTGTGACGACGACGACGATGCTGATGATGATGATGGGGGGTGTGCACACTGTGTGACGACGACGATGGTGACAAAATGAAACGGTTTCATGCTGGGCATGGGTGAAGAGGGGTTGTGGGGGGGGGGGAAAGAAGACGAGTGTATGACGACGATGACAACGCCGTGACGACGGTCGTTGGCGTTGACCGCAGGTACAAGCCGGTGTGTGACGACGACGAGGTGAGGGTGGAGGTGTGCGGCAGTGGCGGGAAGAGGGGACGGGCGCAGACAGCGCCAGCCAAGCCCTCGCCCAAGGCCAGCAAGAAGCACGACTCCCTGTGGCACGGTACAAAACGGCTCATTTCCTCATCCTGTCGTTATCGCCGCGACCCGTGGTTTATCTGCTGCTACTGAATGAGGCGCTCACTACGGTTGACAGAAACCTTTTCTCGGTCAAGTTTCCGAGCATTAAGCTCCCCAGGCTTGGGGGTGGGGAAGAGAGCCTGCCTGTCTTTGGCATGGTTCACCGACTCTTTGTACGTTTTGAAATTGTGAAACTCCCTTCGCCTCCCTCGGTTAAAGAGTCCCCAGAGTTTGATTCCCGGTCAAGACTAATTTCGGTGGCGAGCGATGATCTGAAGCAGTCCTCTGGGTCTTCTTCACACCCCCCCCCCCCCCCCCCCCGACTTCACCGACCGGGGCGTGGATCTTCCTGACACGCCAAGTAGCGTGGTGACGTATGGCAGGCCTTCATCCAGCAGTGGATAGATTGTCTGTAAATTATAATTTATTATAATGATAACAATGATAGATTTGCAGTTGGATTGTTGACCAACTTTAGGAAGTCTTCACCTTGAAATGTGCAGCATTTGTAGAAATGTACATGATGTAACGATTAACATCATATCAGTTTCCTACAGCTTCGTAATTGTTATTTAGCATTTGTGTTGTGTCATGTTTGTGCTTCATGCTGCCTCCAGCACGAGTAAAGTTAATGTAAAAAGTTGATCAATTGCAGTTTACTGAACATTAGCCTTCCACGAGTCTTCTGATCATTGCGACTTCACAACCTGAAATGCTTGTCACGCTCATTTATATGTGTACTTCCGCGTGTGCTCCTTCTGCCGGTGTGTGTACCCGTGCCTGTTGTGTACCCGTGCCTGTTGTGTACCCGTGCCTGTTGTGTACCCAGATGGTCTCTCTCTTGCAAATGAGACTCTGCTGGTCTCTGAGAACAGACCAAACCTTTTTCCTTAAAACCCTCTGCTGTTAGACCACACATGATATGGCTTACCAAATATCCATCAAGAAGGTACACCCCTTCGTCCCATCATCTCCACCATTGGCTCACCCAACTACAAACTGGCCCGATATCTGTCTGAGACCTTACAGCCATTCACTGGTTAAGACCACCTCTTCTGTACTTAATTCAGCTCACCTGGTATGGTCAATTAAAGACATCTCACTGTCCCCAGGTGATTTGCTCGTCAGTTTCGATGTAGTTTCTTTGTTTACCAAAGTTCCTGTGCCCGATACCATTGCAATAATTGAAGATTTGGTCCAACAAGGATTTAATTCTGATGTACCAGCCCTGGTGAGACACTGCCTCACCAATACATACTTCACCTGGAATGGAACATTCTACAAACAAACGGAAGGCACCCCAATGGGTTCTCCCTTATCTCCGGTTGTAGCCAATATTTTCATGAAAAAATTTGAGACTGATGCCATCCAGGTATCTACTCTACGCCCGTCGTTGTGGAAGAGGTACGTGGATGACACGTTTGTCATCTGGCCACATGGCCGGCCGGCTCTAAACCAATTCCTCAACCGCATCAATTCCATACACCCAGCCATAAAATTCACCATTGAGGTAGAAAGGGATGGCAAGCTACCTTTGTTGGATGTCTTAATCAAAAAGAGACCAGATGGCTCAATGAGCCATTCTGGCTACGGGAAAGTAACCCATATTGACGCCTACCTAAAACCTGATTCCCACCACCATCCATCCCAGAAGAATTCCCTCATCAAAACGCCACACCATAGAGCTCAATGTATCTCCGACCATAAACACCTGACCAGTGAACTCAAACACGTACACCAAGCTCTCAAGGCGAATGGATATTCTGACTACACAATCTGCAAAGCCATCACCCCAACCGCGAGGAAGGAGCCATCTGAGGATTCAATCAAAACCATCACTTTGCCATACATAGCAGGGGTAACCAAAAAGATTTCCAAAATTATGAACAAACACAAGATCCAATTCCGATTTAACACAGTGCATAAAATTCGTGATCTGATCCCATCTGTGAAGGACAAGATTCCTGACATGCAATATCCCAGCGTCTACAAACTAAGCTGCATCTGCAGCAGCAGTTACATTGAGGAAACTAAGCGACATGTCTCGGGACCGTGTTTATGAGCGAGCACAAGGCAGATTTGAAACACGGTAGGACCAATACTTCTGCGGTGCTGATCATTATTTTAATGCGGCTGGCTCACACGACATTGATTTCTCTAAGACGATGGTACTTTGCAAGCCTACTGACTATCAACAAAGATTCGTTCATGAAGCCATCCATATATACAGACACAGACACAATTTCAACGGAGAGGATGGTTAATAAACTCTGCAATCGTTGGAAAGATGTCATCAACTTTGGGTCATGACTTGATTTCTGTTTTCTTGTCAACCTCCACCGTCAGCAGTGTGGGTGTGTGAAGCGAGATGCAATGATTGCCTGGAGGCCCTTTTGGTGTAGTCCCACTACCAGCTTTATAAACAGTTTTCCTTTCGAGGCTAAACCCCCCTTTTCCTGATGACGACAGCTTGTGTTGCGATTGAAACGTCGTAGTTTTTATTTTATTTTTATTAACTTTATTTTTAGTTATTATTTTGCTATCTACGTGACATTCCTTTAAGAACCAAATAATGAGTTCTTACCTGCTTAAACAAATAAACTTGACGCGTGTGTACCCTTGCGTCCGTGCGTGCGTACATGCGTGCGTACATGTGCGTGTGTACATGTGCGTGTGTACATGTGCGTGCGTACATGCGTGCGTACATGTGCGTGTGTACATGTGCGTGTGTACATGTGCGTGTGTACATGTGCGTGTGTACCCGTGCGTGCAGACGGTGTGTGCCCCCCAGCGAGCAGCCCCCTGGACGCGTACCTGTGCGCCCGCCCCCCACACGCGCTCACCCTCGACGACCCCTCCCTTGAGGTCATCCTGCTCATCCGCCTCCTGCACGCGCTCAACCGATACTGGTTCCACCTGTACGAGGTGAGCGCGTCGGCTAGCGCCCGGGGGGGCAGCAGAGCCGACGGTGGTACACTCGCCCCCACGCCCGCTGCGCTAATGATATGCATGGGCGCCACGGTGGCGAGATGTTAACTACCTCGCCTGGTATGCCGGAGGTCGTGGATTTGATCGTGAGCCTTGGCGCCTTCTGTATATTTGGAGTCTGCGTGTTCCCTCTCCCTGTGGTTGCGTCGATTTTTCTCTGGGTCCTCTGTCCCCTCTACATTTAGAATCAACATGCGTTTAGAATATTTTGGCCACTATAAATTTCCACGTGAAGATGAAAAGCTCCATTTCGTTGAGCTATCATTTGTGATAGCCAGGTTGCTTCTAGAAAAGAGCAATATAGCTCAGTGGGCCTTGCCTTTTAAAATAAAGAGTTGAGTTATTTTGGTCAGTTTAGTTTTTTCGTGATAACTTTATAGTCCCGGTTGTAATTGCGACACAAGTCATCGGTCATGGGTCGAACCTGGTTATGCGTGCATGCATTACAGGATGCGGCATGCACAGAAGCCATCCCCAGCAGCGAGTTCATTAACAGCAAGCTGACGGCAAAGGCGAACCGGCAGCTGCAGGACCCGCTCGTCATCATGACCGGCAACATCCCTGCCTGGCTCACAGAGCTCGGAAAGACCTGGTACGGCACGGGGTGGCGTGGGGGGGCGTGGGTAAGAGTGGGGTGCGTGTGATCCGGTGTGGGGGTTTCAAGTTTGGGTTTCAGGTTTTATTTTTGCTTATCGGTGAGAACTCAAGAGGTCAAAGATTTGATTTAAATTTTTCAAGAGAGATCTGGGGGGTGTGTGTGGTGGGGTGGCGGGGGAGTGTGGTGTGATATTTGTTGTGTATGGGGTGGGAGATGTGGCCATGAGTTTGCGTGTGTCAGGGAGGGGGTGTGTGTGTGTTTAACCTAGTCTGGCACAAGCGCTGTCACTTGGTGGTAAATGGAGGATGTTATTGTAGAGTTTAATAGTAATGTCTCGTCCTGTGTGTCTGCACGCACACACATACATACATACATACACACACCCACGCTCACAATCACACACGCACGCTCATCATTGCACGCATACACACCCCACGCATGCGCATCCATGCACACACTCACGCACGCGGTTACACGAACGCACATACACACGCACATACACACGCACATACACACGCACATACACACGCACATACACACGCACATACACACGTGCGCGCACGCAGCCCGTTCCTGTTCCCGTTTGATACGCGCCAGCTGCTCCTCTACGTGACGGCGTTTGACCGCGACCGCGCCATGCAGCGCCTGCTCGACACTAACCCCGACATCAGCCAGGCCGACGCGCAGGACAGCCGCGTCGCACCACGCCTCGACCGCAAGAAGGTGCCCCCATCCTCCACCCTCCACCCACCACCCTCCGCCCGCCATCTCCCACCCTCCACCCTAATGATAACAAAGGATGTTCTGGATTTAAAGCTTTCGTGACTGCAAGGATCCATACTCTTTGGTTCTATTCGGTAAAGTCACGTAGGTAAAAAAATAAAACAACAAAAATCACGACGTTTCGGCCACAACACAAGCGGCCTTCAGACTGCGGACCTTTAAGCTGTGTGCGAGGAAACAAGGGGCCTTGACAAAGGAATTAGCATAAAAATTAGCATTTGATTGGCCGACTTAGGATAGAGGTGGTGTACGTGCGGGTGGACTTGCCGTTTGGCGCGGGGGGGGGAGGGGCAGTTTACCTATTGATGGTGTGAAAGGATGTCTCTCCCTCTCGATCTCTGTCTCAGGGTATAGTGGGTGGGGGGGTCATGAATGAAGCCACCGTTACGGAGTTCAGGATTATGTCCCCATGATCTGAGATTTTCTCTCGCTCTCTTGGATGGTTCATGATGGCCTTGTCAGTGACACGGAGATCCTGGGTTGAAGCCCTGGGGCTCATCATACCTCTGTCTCCCTATGGGTTCGTAATGGCCGAGTCGGAGACATTGAGCAGCGGTCCTGAGGTCTCAGGTTTTGGTCCTTGATATGTGTGTACTGTGCACGTTTGTGTTCCTGTGTGTTTGTGTGTGCACTTCTGTATATGTATGTTTAGGTGTGTGTGTACAATTCTATTTGCGTGTATGTTCTATGTTTGTTCTCTGTGGTTAGGTGTCTGTGTGTGTTTATGTGTGGGGAGCGGTAGTGTAGTGGTTAGCGCGCGCTGCACTACGAACCTGGCAAACCGGGTTCGATTCAAGCTCACGGCCAACATCACTGTAATGATTATATTAACTGGTCCTGGGCCTCCCCTAGGTCGACTCGGCCTCATTAGTACCTGGTGCAGTATGTAAACATCGCCACTGGGGAGACAAAGGCAGTCGGGCGTAGTGCTGGCCATCCACCCCATCGTGTGCCGTGTCGGCCTTCATAGGTGCTCGCTAACAGCACTTGCCCCAACAGTCTATTCAGGCTACACGTGGGATCTTTGTGTGTGTGTGCGCACAATTCTATTTGCGTGTGTTTATGTTCTGTGTGTGTGAGCAGCGCACGGTGAACAGGGAGGACCTCCTGAAGCAGGCGGAGAGCGTCATGTCGGAGCTGGGAAGCTCGCGAGCCATGCTCGAGATTCAGTACGACAACGAGGTGAGTGAGGGACACGACCCGGGTTGGAGTCCAGCTGGGCTCAGAATCGGAATCAGAGAGTATTTATGCTGGAGGAATCCGATGCGCTATCAAGCTCTATTTCACAAATGTCCAGTAGGGGGGTGGGTAAGAATGTTACAACAACAAACAGTACTAAAACACGATAGGAGTGCAAAGCATAGCAAGGGTAAACAAATTAATAAAAAATATATACAAATAAAACTGCATTATTATTTTTGTTCTTACCAGGTAAAGCCCACTGAGGTATTCTTTGGGTCTTTCGGTAAAGTCACATATAAAAAAAAAACTATTCTTTTTTACAAAAAACTACGATGTTTCGATCGCAACACAAGCAATCGTCACTACTGAGGTATTAACTTGTTTTTCAGAAGCGATTTGGCCACAAATTATAGCTCAGCAAAGTGGTTTATCACGTGGACATATATTGCAGCAAAATCTAAATAATCTCAATGCATGTTAATTCTAAATGTGGAGGGAAATACCGGAGGACCCGGAGAAAATATCCACGCGATCACGAGGAGAACATGCAAACTCCAAATATGCCGGGTCAGGTTAGGGTTAGGATCGGGGTTATGCTTTGACATGGATCATAAACGTGGAATTTGACAGATGCAATGGCGCAAAAGTGGATTAATGTTAGATCATCCAGATAGGAAGTGATGTCACACGTGGCAACAGGAAGTGATGTCGCAGGAGGGGGGGATGTGACGGTTGTGGGGCCGCCCCTGTGGTTGTGAATGGCGCTGCGTGCAGGTGGGCACGGGGCTGGGCCCGACGCTGGAGTTCTACGCCCTCGTGTCGCAGGAGCTGCAGCGAGCCGACCTGGGCATGTGGCGTGGAGACGAGCTCACCATCACCAGCCCCAAGGGTGAGTGAGCGCGCAAGCAGGGAGGGGAGTCACGGTGAACCCAGGGGAGGCCCCAAGACCAGTGCAGATTTTGCTCGCCACTGAACCGTTAGGGCACCATAGCCCTAATACTAACTCACAATACACATTATCCCTAACTATAACGAACACTGCAACCCTAACACTAGCCCTAATACTACCCTACAGTCAGTATTAGCACTGAACGCAAACACAAACTCTAACTTCAAAATAGCCCCATTCCTGACCAGCGTGCCCACGTGTGTGCTGTGTGTGCCTGTGTGTGTGTGCGCTGCGTGTGCTGCCTGTGTGTGTGTGTGCTGTGTGTGTGTGTGTGCTGCCTGTGTGCGTGCTGCGTGTGTTTTGTGCGTGCCTTGCCCGTGTGCGCGCGCATGCTCGTGTAGGCGCGTCGGAGGGCGTGCGCTACGTGCACAGCGCCCAGGGCTTCTTCCCGGCACCGCTGGGGAGAAACACGAAGGCGACGGTGCTGACGCGACTCAAGATCAAGTTCCGCTTCCTCGGCCGCTTCATGGCCAAGGCCCTGATGGACTCGCGCATGGTGAGGGGCGAGCCGCGCGCGACCGCCTCTCGGTGGGAGGGCGCCGTTCCTCCCTGCCGCCCTCTCAGACTCCCTTCCCCCAACCGTCCGTGCTGTCCGCTCGCTGCCCCCATCCCAAGTCCAAACTCAAGTTGTGACCGACTGCCTCTTTTGCTTTCTCTACACACGTGTGTGTGTGCGTGGCGTGCATGTCTGGTCTGTGGTGTGTGTGCGGCGTGTATGTGTGTTGTCTGCGTGGCATGCGCGTCGTGTGTGTGGTGCGTGCGTGTGTACGTGTGCTTGGTTGGCGTGCAGCTGGACCTGCCGCTGAGCCTGCCCTTCTACAAGTGGATGCTGGGCGGCGAGGGCTCGCTCACCGAGGGCGACCTGGTGCACATCGACCCCGTGGTGCACCGCTCCGTGCTGCAGCTGCGCTCCGTGCTCTGGGAGAAGCAGAAGCTGGAGCAGGATCGCACGCAGGTGATCCCTCTCCCTCCCTGCACCCCCACCCCCCCCCTCCGCTGGAATCAACTTCACCTCGACATTAAGCAGTCCCCCTCCTTAACCTTCTGTGTTTCCTCTCTTAACGCTCACCTCTTCTCCATTGCCCATTCTCTTCCCTCCCCTCGCCCCCCTCCACTCCGTGCCGTTCTTCCCCTGTAGCCCTTTCGTACGTCCGTTTAGCACAGTTGGCTGCATACGGTTTGAAAGAAGTTCAACATACCTACTGCATATGTGACCCCTATCCGCCCGCTGTTACGGCCACTCATTCCTCGGCTTTTGCACTACCACTGCCATCTCAATCATTCTATTTGTTACCATGTATCGAGCGCCTTCATTGAAAGTGCTCTATAAATATAGATAAGATCTGCATAATAGCTGCCACTCGCCGCTAAGTGGCGGCGACGTCACCATAGCGCTTGTACCAGGCATGGTTGCACTTTTGACGCCTCTCGAAGGTGTGGAAGGCTCTCTGCTGGCAGGACATCACGGCACAGACCCAGGTGACATTGGTTGACTGACTGAGATGAGTACCAGATGCACCACCTGTGCTCTCGACTGTGGCAACGTGTCCACAAGGACAAGGAACCCCCGTATAGCCTTAACAGACTGTTGGGGCAAGTGCTGTTAGCGAGCAGCACCTCCGAACGTGTACACACAGACACCGGCACTCCAGTCCCCACGACAGCCACATTAAACGGTGAATGCTTTGGGCCGTTGTTGACGTCCGATGGTTGCTTGCGGTGTGCGCAGACGCGCGAGTCTCTGCAGTCGGCGCTGGAGGCGCTCACCATGAGCGGCTGCTCCATCGAGGACCTGAGTCTGGACTTCACGCTGCCCGGGTTCCCGCATATTGAGCTGCGGCGTGGGGGCAAGGACGTCCCCGTCACCATCCACAACTTGCAGCAGTACCTACAGGTGCTGGCAACCACGGCAACTGCGAACACGGCAACCGCGGCCATGGCAACGACAGTCACGACAACCGAAGCTATGGCATTGCAGCAGTGTTTCCCGCACCTCCAATTCGCACGGTTGGCTACTTCGGGTGTGAAAGAAGTTCAACATGCATGCATACATACATAGTAGCCATGAACACGTATGTATATTTGTTGGACGTCTTTCGTACCGCACGTGGCCAACTGTGTTAACTGTAGAGCAACTGCAGCAGTAGTCGCAACTGCAGTCTCACGCACGGCCACCACTTGGTTGCACAATCATCGACACCACATTCCATCACTTTTACAATCGCCACCACAACCACCGTTAAAATCGCAACCATTTGCTCGAATCACGAACACCGTCTCAACCAACCTCACACTCCTGGTATTCCTAACCCCCTACCCCCTATTCCTCCTAACCTTGTTATCAACTCGGTCACTATGCTTACCTTGCCATAATATTGACCCTATCTTTACACTATTTCTCTACCCCTGTCAATGCCCCCCCCCCCCCGTCGCTACCCCCCCCCTGCAGTTGGTGGTGCACTGGACGCTGGTGGAGGGCGTGAGCCGGCAGTTTGAGGCCTTCAGGGAAGGCTTTGAGTCCGTGTTTCCCCTGCACCACCTGCACTACTTCTACCCGGAGGAGGTGGTGGCGCACACACACAACTACGTCTGTACACATGTGCATGATGTATACATACGAATACACACACACACTAATACATGCGCACATGTGTATACATCATTGTACGGTTGCTGTCGTTCACCGTGTGAGCTCCTTTTGCCGTTACCCTGGTGACCATGTGTGTGTGTGTGTGTGGTGTCCGTGGCGACCATGTGTGTGGCCTCCGTGGCGACCGTGTGTCTGTGTTTGCGTCTCTGTGGCGACCGTGTGAACGCAGCTGGATCAGCTGTTCTGCGGTAGCAAGGCGGAGATCTGGGACGTGAAGTCACTGATGGAATGCTGCCGGCCAGACCACGGATACACCCATGACAGGTGGCGGCCCTCGCCGTATTACCGTCTCATTGTATCTAGCTTGGTTCCACCGTTATCTCTTGCGTAACGACTAGTTACCACGCGTGTGAGCACCGTGCATTCTTTCGTTTAATCACCTCGTTGTGCTTTTTTTTCCCCAAACCCCTCCCCTTGCGCGCACACACACACACACACATACCCGCGCACGCGTGCAGCCGAGCGGTTAAGTTTTTGTTTGAGATTTTAAGTTCCTTCGACTCGGAGCAACAGAGGCTGTTCCTGCAGTTTGTCACGGGGTCTCCCCGCCTGCCCGTCGGAGGTACGCACGCGCACGCGCACGTACTGCCATGGACTAATACACGAGACAAAGATCCCCCCATGTAGCCTTTAAAGACTGTAGGGGCAAATGCTGTCAGCGAGCACCTATATTTATTTACACTGCACCAGGTACTTGTTTGAGGTTGAGCCGACCTAGGGGAGACCCATGACGAGTTCAGATAATCATCACTGGTGTTGGCCGTTGAGCAGGTATCGAACTCAGGTCGCCGGGTTCGTAGCGCAGCGCGCTAACAGCTACACTACCGCTGCACATATACAAATACACACACTTGTACACACGGACCAAGACACAAACCCACACTTGGTGCATACCGTACCCACCATCGTTGATACACACAAATAGGTACGCGTGCATGCACCCACGTGTGCACGCGCGCACACACACTCGACGCATTATACAGTGGTACACACTCGCGCAAAGTACAGACACTAATGCACTGCCACCCCCGCAGGCTTTCGGAGCCTGAACCCGCCGCTGACGATCGTGCGCAAGACGCTGGAGGCGGCGGAGGACCCGGACGGCTTCCTGCCGTCCGTCATGACGTGCGTCAACTACCTAAAGCTCCCCGACTACTCCACGTGCTCACTCATGCGGGAGAGGCTGCTGACTGCGGCGCGCGAGGGCCAGCGCTCCTTCCACCTCTCCTAGGCACCGTCGCCACCGCTGCTGCTGCTCCCCCCTCCCCCCCCCTTTCCCCCTGATGACGACGACGACGCTGCTGCTGCTGCTGCTGCTTGCCCCCATTTCCTCTCCCAACGACACCGCCGCCACCACCACCACCACCAACAACCACAAACCGATCCCAACCACGCTCGCGCATTACACCGCACGCAGACCCGCACACGAACCAAAGCGTACGCACGCACGCACGTTGACTAGCACCGCTGTCTCTCCCCTCCCCCACATCCCCCATACCCGCCAGCGGAAACCCGCGCTCCGCTCGGATAGGGCGGAGGCAGCGCGCGCTCACCCCCATCCCTCCACCCGCCCACCTACCCCCACCTGTCACCGCACGCCCGCGCCGCGCCTCCCTCTGCTTGACGGGCCGACGACTCGGAAGGAGGCAGGTGGAGGCCGCGCGCCGTCTCTCATGGCTGTTGCCGTAGAAGCTCGTTTCTGTTTTATTTCTTGGTTTCTCCCAGCAGCTGCCGACGCCGATGAGAGGCGCGGCCCCGGCGATTATTGCAGCCTCCAGTTGGTGGCCCCCCCCCCCCCCCCCCCGTTCCTCAAACCCGCTTACCCACACCGCTTTTTCTCACTTTTCATTTGGCGCTGCCGGGTGGTGAAACCACCCCCCCCCCCCATCTGCCCTTTCCCCTCCCTCCTCCTCCACAAGCCTGGGTCAGTGCCCAGCCAATATCGCCTCTGCAGTTTTTGCACAGCAGGCAGGCACGCACCACGCCTACACACACCCTGACACACGCTTGCGCACACGATCACGCACACACACTGGCACACGCTTGCGTGCACGCACTTGCTCGCACGCACTGACACGCGCTCGCACGCACTGACGCACGCTCGCACACACGCACTGACACGCACTGACACGCGCGCTTTCACACCAACGTGCACCCCCGTCGTCGGCTGTTTTGCCGCGCAGGTGCGGTGTGGCCGCCGACCCGAGGCTGGGGTTGAAGCTAATGGGATCCCAGATGTTTCGTTTTGTTGTGTAACTGTTTCCACGTTTTTTCGCTTACATTTTGATTGGTTATTAAGTATTTTTGTCCCAGATTTATCCCTCCTGACCCTCCCTCCAACCCCCCCCCCCTTCCCTCCCTCTTACCCCCCCCCGCCCCAACATCTGCGAGCCCTCGTCTCTCTCCTCTCTCCCACTGCCATCGATTTCCCCCTGAACGCGCCAACCACCCTCTGACCCCCCCCTTCCTCTACCCACGACCCCCACCCAGTCCGCCTGTTTACCTGGAGTTTAACTCCGACCCTCCCCCTCCCCGACTCGCTGGCTCTTGCCCTCCCGTCCCACTCTTCCCGTGTATATTTACCCGACCCATAACCCCTGACCCCCCCCTAACCCCTGTGTGCGTGTCGCACTTGTCTCGCAATAATGACCTTTGGCCCCCCGTGGAGGGGTAGGTTTGAAACGGGACACAATAAATAAATAAATAAAACCCACGCACTGCTTTCGGCCTCGTCACAACCCCCGTGTGTGTGCGTGCGTGCACTACGGGCAGCGTGTGTGACACGTGACTGTGTGTGTGACACGTGACTGGTAGTATACAGCAAGTAGGTCGGGGCCGCGCGCGTGTGAATTGGGATCGCCTCGTGTGCTTGCGTGGCTTTTCCCCAGGTGCTTCTGGAGCTTGCCGTGCGAAGGATAAGTCCGCAGTTTGGATTTCCAATGTGGTCACTCCAAATGTGACCGCACCTGGAGATGCTGGGACAGGGACTTGTGTGTCGGAGAAAAGAGGCGGTGTTGGATGGGTCACGGGAACAAATACATTGGGAAGTTTTGAGTCTGGACTTCAACAGTGGCAGGGGAGTCGATAGCACGGACGGCTCGGGAAAGGGATGGGAGGTTGAATCTCGACCGTAGGGGTGGCACGGGGGGTGGCAGTGACTTGGGGTAGACCATCCAGCAGCGGAGAGATCACGAGTTGATCCAAGCGTGTCTTCTCTCGCATACCGTTCTCCTTGCCGTCGTCTTGCGTGACCGGTCTCCGTTCCGTCTCTGCCATTCTGTTTGCATCCAGCTTCACATCAATTACAATTTTAATTTAACGTCGCCTGCGGAAGGTGGGCGGGCCAAACCATCCATCGAGACGATGCTCACTTGCGACTTTTCAATGCAACTTTATTTCAAACGGCGGGGGGGAGGGAAATCAAATCTACGGAAGCGGTTCGTGGCCCAGGACATTTGCGGTTCCAGACGAGGGAACTCCCACGGTGCTCCTGCGGATTTCCAAATTCGCTCACGGTCGGCGGACTCGCGAAGTCGACGGACGTCTGGCGACCCCGGCTTAGCGCCTCGGTGCAACCGGATCTCAAGACGCTTCTTTACAAACTGAGGAGACTGCACATTGGGGTGGAGGGGGGGGGGCTCGGGTGAAGGGAAATGCGGAGGAAGAGCGACACCGCGGTAGAGTAGCACCGACGATGACTACAAGCCAGAGCATCATCGTTTGCATTTGCTTCCACGGTACGTAGATATTCCGTTCGAAGTGATTTATCCGTTCAACTCATTTGTGTGTTTAGCACTAGCAGCAACAGCAGCTCGGAATAGGACTTTGAGCAGGGCGGTCTGAGTGCAATGTCAACTTGCGGTGGTGGCCGAGCTTGAGGTTGGTGCCTCCCGCAACTCGCAGAGGCCGCTGGTGTTAGTGACGAGGGCGAGTCTGCCAAGAGCCGCACGGCGCTCTAAGACGCCGTCAAAAGCCGCTCCCGATCCGACTCCGCCTCCGATCCCTCGGGCCCCGCGGACCTTCGCTCGGCCTCCCGGGGCCCCTTCTTCACCAGGGCGGCCCCCGCCGCGCTCAGAGCCACGCACGCCGCGCCCACGAAGCTCAGGGGCCCCGGGAGTCCCTCGTCCAACATCACCGCCTGGGCCCCCACGGCCAGGAGGACGTCGCAGGTGCGGATCGCCGCCACGAGGCCGGCGCCCTCCAGCTGCAGGGCCCGCGCCAGCGACAGCTGCCCCAGGGCGGCCACGGGCCCCGTGAGCACGAGGGCAGCGCGGGCCCAGGGAGGGTCGCAGGGCAGCAGGCACGGGAGGGAGGGCAGCGTCGGCGGCACCAGCAGCAGGAGCAGCAGGGACTGCGCCATGCCCGCGAGGGAGATGGCCCAGGTGGAGGTGAGGAGGCTCGCCGAGGCGCCCAGGAGGCGCAGGCACACGAAGGCGCCCGCCGAGCAGAGCGCGCTGAGGAGGGCGGCCAGGGAGCCCAGCAGGCGCAAGGTCACAGTGGGGCCGTCTACGGGGGGGGGGGGGGGAGGTAGAGGAGGGGGGGGGGATGGTCAGGACGGGAAGAATGAATGAAGGAATGAATGGTAGAGGAGACGGGAAGACGGTGGTCAGGACGTGGGGATTGAATTAAAAAAGACGAAAGGAATGCGTGAATTTACGAAGAATTACAATCGAAAGAACCAAAGAAGAAGAATTACAATCCTAATAGCCACCACAACCAACAATGCCATCATCCTCTACCAAACCCAACTATAGCATCCGTTACCACCATTACCATCACCATTCGAATCATCACGGTGCGAATCTGCTGCCTTGGTTGATACTGTTGGGTATGTTATTTGGTTTATACTGTTGGGTGTGTTATGTGGATTGTGCTGGAGTCGCCGTCAAAATGTTTTCTTAATCGGGAAATGCATGGACCTTGGTAAAGAAAGGGTGATCATTAAAATAGTCTTTGTCATTCTTGGCATCATCAACATCATCAGTAGCAGCAGTAGCAACATCATGGCCAGGGGTCTGCAACCAAGAGACTCGATATTTCAAGTGCCGCCGGTTTGCCGAGCCCCTTGATCCGTGACCATCCCAATTGTAACAGCTACAGGACTAACACCACCACCATCTTCTTCACTCATCGTAACCACCACTCATGCTTGGGTGAAGATTGGGGGGGGGGGGGGCACAGACAACGCCCTCCCAAACTGAGCACCTTTATGAATTTGTTTGTAGTAGCTTACAATTGAGATTATAAATGAATGATATGCACCCTCGATTCCTAAAGCGACCCCCCCCTTCCCCCAAATAGAGAAGTTCAAACTCCGCCTTGGCCACCACTTTCGTCTTCATCGCCCCTGCAATCATCACCACCATCGTCGTCGTCGCCGCCGCCGCCGAAGAGCAGGGGTGGCCTCGCCGCCAGGGTCACCCCGGCGAACGCGAGCGCGGCGAGGGGAGGGTCCCAGGGGCTGCACGGCTCCCCCAGCACCCCTCTGGCAATGCCGCCGGTGAGCGCCGCCCTGCTGAAGGTGATCACCGTGGCGTCGCTCAACGGGAGGGAGCGCACGGCGACCACCACGCAGATGTTCCCCGCGGCGCCCAGCAGTCCCCGCAGCAGCAGCAGCAGCGACATGGACAGCCTCTTCCCGCCGGGAGGTGGCAGCGGCAGCAGCAGCAGCGGCTCTCTGTGGGATGGGAGTGGTGGGGGGGGGGTTATTGATCAGGTTTGGGGGTCCGCATTCTATGGGAATTTTTTTTTACTTTTTAACTTTTTTTTACTGGCAAAAAATTCCCATAGATGTTTTATTTTTATTTCATCAGGTAAGGCCCCCTTGAGCTATCTGTAGCTCGTCTTTTTCAGAAGCGACCCGGCCATCACACATGATCGCGTACCGTCATGTCGACAGTTATAGCAGCCAAGATACTCTAAACCGCGTGATGTCGAAATCCACGCGACCACGGGGAGAGAAACGTGCACACTCCAAATACACAGCAGCAGGCGTCGGGGTCGGGATTGAACCCCACGACCTCCTGCATAGCAAACGAGGTAGTTAACATCCTCACGGTAAAGTCATTCCAAGAGGAGGTCGCTGTGCTGACGTCGTGGTCCAAATTTGAAAAGAAATTCGTTGCCACGAGGAGAGAGGCAGTGCCGGACTAAGCTAGCGTGGGGCCTGTAGCATTTGTTATAAAAGGGACCTAAATTTAAAAAGACACGTACATATTAAAACACATTTTTTTACTTGCATAGTAAAGTAATTGTATTTTTTAATTTGCTATACAGCCAGATAATAGGATAAATCGCTAACCTTAAACACCCGGTCGTTCATACAAGTTGAAGGCGGTATAGTACTATAGTAATAGAGCAAGTGCAGAATCATTGAACCGGAATCGATAGCTTGAAAGCATTTAGCGCTGGACCCATGAAAGCGCAGGGCCCGTAGCTATTACATACGCAGCTACTTTTGCTCCTACGATAATCCGGCACTGTTCAGAGGGCTTCTGCAGGGAGACGGAGATAATTCGTGTGGGTTTCCTCCTCCTCCTCAGTTGACGAAGCCAAACCCTGCCGTGGGTATCCTGGTCCATAGTTTGGATTGCATGTCCACAATCGCACTCCTGTGGCCGATCTTTAATGTATCACTGCGGTTCTATGTATCTCTGAGTATAGGCCAATGTGTATCTCTACGAGTCTGTGTCTCTCTTTGTATATTTGTGGAACCTCTTTCGCACCGGTACGCAGCCAACCGTGATCATCTCGGCCACAATCGCAGCACTGTGGCTTCACTTTCCCCAATTCCTGAAGGAGATGCGGTGCGTCGGCGTCACGTCGATGTGCAGGTCCTGTCAATGTTGCGATGTGTATCCGATTTTTTTTTTCAATATATAAACCAAATCGATTTCGCGGAATCGATCTGGCTCGTGCCCCCCCCCTCCCTCGCCTGTAGAGGATGAGCAGGGGCAGGATAACGGCGGCCTGGAAGAAGAATCTGATGAAGGCGATTTCCAACGGAGGCACGGAATCGATTCTCTTCACCAACACCGAGTTGACGGTGACGGCGAGGGAAGAGACCAGCGCCAGGATGATCCCTGCTCCGCGAAACGTCGTCCCGTGACCTGCACCAGGGGTCACAGTCACTGCACCAGGGGTCACAGTCACTGCACCAGGGGTCACAGGCACTGCACCAGGGGTCACAGGCACTGCACCAGGGGTCACAGGCACTGCACCAGGGGTCACAGTCACTGCACCAGGGGTCACAGGCACTGCACCAGGGGTCACAGTCACTGCAATAGGGGGTCCCACTTCCATTCATTAGGAGGTCCCACTCCCCTGAATTAGCGGGTCCACTCCCATTCATTAGGGGGTTCCACTCCCCTGCATTAGGGGGTCACACATTCGGGGGTATGGGTAATAGTGAGGCTCTCGAAGGGTGCCGAGTTGGAGGTGATGGTAAAGTAATGATGACGGTGGTGTTGATGATGATGATGGTGGTAGTGGTGATGATGGTGGTGGTCGTGGTGATGATGGTGGTTTTGATGGCGATGATGGTGGTAGTGGTAATGGTGATGGTGGTAGTGGTGACGATGGTGGTGGTGATGGTGGTGGTGATGATGGTGATGGTGGTCATTGATGGTGGTGGTGGTAGTGGTGGTGATGATGATGGTGGTGGTGGTGGTGATGATGGTGGTGGTGGTGGTAGTGGTGATGGTGGTGGTAGTGGTGATGGTGGTGGTAATGGCGATGATGGTGGTAGTGGTGATGTTGGTGGTAGTGCTGATGGTGATGTTGGTGGTAGTGCTGATGGTGATGTTGGTGGTAGTGCTGATGGTGATGTTGGTGGTAGTGGTGATGATAGTTGTAGTGGTGATGATGGTGGTGTTGATGGTGATGATGGTGGTGTTGATGGTTAGGTGCTCGCTAACAGCACTTGCCCCTACAGTCTGTTACAGGCTATATGGGGGGTCTTTGTCTTTGTTGATGGTGATGATGGTGATGATGGTGGTGTTGATGGTGATGATGGTGATGTTGATGATGATGATGATGGTGGTGATAGTGGTGATGTTGGTGGTGTTGATGGTGATGATGGTGGTGTTGATGGTGATGATGGTGATGTTGATCGTGATGATGGTGGTGATAGTGGTGATGTTGGTGGTGTTGATGGTGTTGATGGTGATGATGATGGTTGTAGTGGTGGTGATGATGGTGGTGATGGTGGTGGTGTTGATGGTGATGATGGTGGTGGTGATGGTGGTGGTTGTGATGATGGTGATAATGGTGATAATGGTGGTAGTGATAATGGTGGTGGTGGTGATGGTGATGATGGTGTTGGTGGTGGTGGTGATGATGATGATGATGGTGGTGGTGGTGATGGTGGTGATGGTGGTGATGATGATGGTGGTGATAGTGTTGGTGATGATGGTGTTGGTGGTGATGATGGTGATGATGGTGGTGGTGGTGATGGTGGTGTTGGTGGTGTTGGTGGTGATGGTGGTGATGATGGTGATGGTGGTGTTGGTGGTGATGGTGATGGTGGTGATGGTGTTGGTGGTGATGGTGATGATGGTGGTGGTGATGATGGTGGTGATGGTGGTGATGGTGGTGTTGGTGGTGATGGTGGTGATGGTGGTGGTGATGATGGTGGTGTTGGTAGTGATGATGGTGGTGATGGTGGTGTTGGTGGTGTTGGTGGTGGTGATGGTGGTGGTGGTGATGATGGTGATGATGGTGGTGGCCCTTACCACCTCGGGTCGACTTCTCTCGATCTTCCGTCTCACGTCTCCGTGTTCCCTCGTCTTTGCGACCGCAGCAGCTTCCACAACCGCGGCCCGCAGCTCCTCTCCCCCCCACCGCTTGCTCATCAACCTCCTCCCAATCCTCGTCCACCTCCTCCTCCTCCTGCTCCACCAGCAGTGGCTTCGTCTCGCGGAGCTTCCGAAGTTTCAACGATCGCGATTCAAACCTCGCGGACATGGTAACGTGCGGTCCTTGCAAATACAACACAAGACTGTGTATCCCACAGTGTGTACTGTATATATATCTAGACTGTATCGTGCGAACTAACCTCTTTAATTCAAAGGCTTTGACGAATCGTAACTTCGTTCTTAGTAGACGATGACACTCGCAGGGATTTGATGGTGATGCTGATGGTCATGATCGTCAGCATCAATTCGTCTACCAAAGCGTGAAAATTGCCTCCCCTTGTGATGGACGCCCCCCTCCCCACCCCGCATTAATTACTCGAAGTTAAATTGTCAACGATGGCTCGCAAGGCTATAATTGCTACCCAATTGCTACAAAATACATTAATAACAACAACAATAGATTTTTATTTAAAGCTTTCGTGACTTTACCGAAGGAACCAAGAATAGAACAACAATAGACTTTGCTTCGGCAAGCTACACAGCAGCACTGCAATGGACCGCCGAGTTTTGGAACAAACCCGCGGGGCAGACGCCTCGCCCGGCGTCTCGGCGGGACCTGGGGGAGGCGCCGAGTCGCGCAGTCACCACCGGCACCCAGGACATCTGCGCACGAAATCCAACTCCTGCGGCCACCACCCGAACACAAACGCCAACAACAACAGTAGACACCCGGCCCAGCCAAACCTTCTTCGCCGAGTTCGATGCCGGGTCATGAATCTCTGCGTTGCGACGCTAGCGAGGGTGTCACCATGCGCGTGTGTAGCTCATGGTAATTATTATTATTAATGCCATGGTAATAATTATTATTATTAATGCCATGGTGATTATTATTATTAATGCCATGGTAATTATTATTAATGCCATGGTGATTATTATTAATGCCATGGTGATTATTATTAATGCGATGGTAATTATTATTAATGCCATGGTAATTATTATTATTAATGCGATGGTAATTATCATTAATGCCATGGTAATTATTATTAATGCGATGGTAATTAGTATTATTAATGCGATGGTAATTATTATTAATGCCATGGTGATTATTATTATTAATGCCATGGTGATTATTATTAATGCCATGGTGATTATTATTATTATTAATGCCATGGTAATTATTATTATTCATGCAGACGCGGCGGTGGTGATGATGGAGCGGTGGCGCCGCGCTACGAGCCCATGTACCAGGGTTCGATTCCCGCTCACGGCCACCAACACCAGTGTAGATTACCGGTAGCTGAACCGGTCCTGAGCCTCCCCTAGGTCGACTCCGGCCTCAAATGAGTACCTGGTGCAGTGTGTAGTAAACATCGCCACCGGGGAGACAAAGGCGGCCGGGCGTGGTGCTGGCCACCCACTCCCTCGTGTGCCGTTGCCGGCTTTCATAGGTGCTGCTCGCTACTAACAGCACTCGCCCCAACAGTCTGTGAAGTCTACACGGGGGATCTTTGTCTTTGTGTGTCGGCGCGCGACTACTCCGCTAAGAGCACTCGCCCCGACAGTCTGTTCGGTCGGGGCTATGCGGGGGATCTTTGTTGGGTGGTGATGGGGGGGGGGGAACTCGCGTTGTGCCCCCGGCGCGGTGGCTTCTTGAGAAGCGTCGCGGTGCGCAGCTGCGGAGGGGCAGGTCGAGATGTGTCTAAGAAGAGAGACGATGGCGGTGATTATGATGGTGGTAATGGTGGTGATGATGGTGATGGTGGTGATGATGGTGATGGTGGTGATGATGATGGTGATGATGGTGGTGATGATGATGGTGATGATGATGGTGATGATGATGGTGATGATGGTGGTGATGGTGGTAATGATGATGGTGGTGGTGGTGATGATGGTGGTGGTGGTGATGTTGGTGATGGTGGTGGTGATGATGGTGGCGGTGATGATGATGATAATGGTGGTGATAATGGTGATGATGATGATGGTGCAGTGGTTAGCACACTGGGCAAAGCACACGGAGACGTCAGTGGGCATGTGGTGTCAGGACCTGGCCTGGGGTCTCCGCGAGGTCGACTCGACCTCACCACCAAAGCTGTTTGAACATCGCAATACCTCCGGTTTTATTGCCGGAAAGGATGAAGCCGCTTCTTATTTAAACCTTTCGTGACTGCAGGAATTTTTATTCTTTGGGTCTTTCGGTAAAGTCACGTAGGTAGGTTGAAATAAAATCACACAAAACGACGTTTCGATCGAAAATAACAAAAAAACTACGTTTCGAATGAAACGTCGTAGTTTTTTGTGATTTTCTTTCAACATATCTACGTGACTTTACCGAAAGACCCAAAGAATACCTATTCCTATTATTTCATCATTTTGACACTGGCAAAGAGATTCCATAGATAAAACTTCTCAACCCGAGCTACGACTACTTTGATAACCTGCATTGCCTGTTAAACTGTTGTCGCCTTTTGGCGTTCTCTCGTCTAACGCCTTTGGTGGTGAGACAGGGCCCATTAACGAAGGCTGTCCTCTGGTGTAGGCAAATCCGCTTAGAAGACAATGCATCTCTCATATCAGATCACGTTAGTTTGCATAGCGAGTACGTGTGGTTAATGTAGACTTGATTCCTTGCAAAGAAGTTTCTATTTGCTGTTTGAACATCTTCACGCCTCCTGTTTTATTGGCCAGAAAGCGTAAATCCCTTTCTCGTTTCTTCATCGTTTTGCCAGGGCTGGCATTAAGGGTTCCAGAGATAGTTCCACGCTTGTGCCACTGCTGGGGTTAATTTATGCATTGCTCCCTGCCACAGGCGTGGAGCGGACCAGCCGATTGCCACGCCGGGCTGAATCTTCACGCAAATCTTCACAGCGCCTCGAGGGCGCACGCGGAGCTGAGAGGCAACGCCGCCTCGGAGCGTGGAGGAGAGACGCACGGCAGGAATTACGATGCCGAGAGGGCAGAAAAAAAGAGGAACGCGTGGGTGGGACAGCGTGCACATTTGAAACTTCACGTATGTACGTTGAACTTCTTCCGCACCGTACGTAGCCAAACGTGCTATAATTGGAGGTGCGCGGGGAAGGACTAACTAAATGCATAAAAGCAGTTTTAAAGAAATGAGTCAATCTAGATCACTTAAAAGTGCATAGCTCCAGTGGCTTCCTAATATCAGAAGAGCAGCGTTCCAGACGGCCGCAGAAGCGCATCTGAAAGCACTGCGCACGACGCGGTGACCACCCTCTTCATTTGATGGCGAGCCAAAAAAACCCGCTGCTGCTGCTGCAACCGAGAGGATGACCGGAGTGTGCCGACTGTTAAGAAGAAGTGGTCTTGGACTGCGATGAACGGTGGCCTGGGGTGAAGACTCAGCGAGGAGGCCAGCGGCGGCCAAAGGCGTGAACATGTCCGATGCTTTTTTCCGTTTTTCAACCGTGGAGATGGAGTGGCGAAATCCGCTCGTGGGTGGATTTGGTGAATCGTGAGGCCCTTATGCAGCAGTGGAAAGCTCATTGTGGCTTGCGATGAAAGGTCACACAGGCACAAGTGTTGCGTATGTTTTATTGAAATTAAGTGAATGCAGACTTTTTTTTTAATATGGATCAATACAATTGATATACAATCAAAGTGTACTTTACTACAACAGAGTGTAGAAATAAAACTTTACTTGGAGCTTTCGTGACTGCAGGAATTACTCATTGGTTCTTTCGGTAAAGTCACGTAGAAAGAAAATAAATTAAATAGCATCCGACGTTTCGATTGCAACACAAGCAGTCGCCATCAGGTAGAAATGAAAGAGAGAACATAATCAACCAGGCTATGCGTTAATTGTGTTGACCGACTCTGTTGCATTGCATTACATTTCCAAATTTTGCTAAGTTTGTTTAAGTGTTTTCTCTGTGTGTGTCCTCGTGTTGTAGTATTTCCTGCAGTCACGAAAGCTCCAAGTCTCTCATTGACGTGCTAATTTCTCGACCCCAACCTCTCTAAGGCCTCGACACAGAGGCGCTGTCTCTCTGTTTATGTCTCCGGTTCTGTGTTTTGTCTCTCTCTCAAATTTAGCAATCTTTGGAAGAATGTCAATCAACCAGCTAGGGTGTTGACTGTTATGTTAGCCGACTCTCTGTGTTGTATTGCATTATATTTCTAAGTTTACTAGGTTCGTTTTCTCTTTCATTTGTACCTGATGATGATTGCTTGTGTTGCAATCGAAACGTCGTATGCTATTATTTAATTTATTTTCTTTCTACGTGACTTTACCGAAAGAACCAAAGAGAGTGGAGAAATGTCACGCACACGTGACCTGCTCCCCTCCCACTGCCTCCCGCTTGTGGGAGATAGCACAAGTAGGTTACTGATAAGGCTGTGCGTGCGCGTGGAGATACCCGAGAATTCTCGCGCCCTCTCCTGCACCAAGTGGGTTTTCTCTGGGCACTTTGGTTTATGCCCCCCACACACACACGCTCGCGCACACACACACACTCACACGCACTCGCACACACTCACACGCACTCGCGTGCGTACGACGATGACGACAAAGGTCAAAACGAGACCGGGCAGGGTCCTCGTCGAAAAAGCATCTTGCAGGAATTCACTGTTCAGAGCCATCGCCCCTCCCTCGGCCATTGCTCCTTTCCTTCTGACAAATACCGCAGCCGTTTCAGCGACACCCCGACCCACAAAGACCGCTCTCAAAAGTCTCATCACCACCATCACCGCCCATCTGGCTTCAGGCATTTGCCTTGCTGCACAGCCAAACGGATCGTTTCAAAGACCACTTTTACCGGTCTCGAGAAGGGAGCGCTCTTGCCAATTGCACCAGCGTGGGCAGCGTTTGTTCAACAAGCCCGAGTGCTGATGGAGACCCCAGAAGGTTGAAACTTGTTTAAACTAATGCTCCTTAACCAGTCTTGGGTGTGGAGAGCCAATGGGCCGAGGGACTACATTTTTCAGCGCCCAACAGTCTCGTCACCACCACCACCACCTGGTTCTTGGCCACAAACGTCCTGTTCCCAATCACTTCGACAGCCATTCCCCCCCCACCTTCCATGTCGTGTCTCCCAACGTCCAAGTTGTTTACCCAATTCTACCGTGAAATAGCCGACATCCCTCTTCCCC